TGTGTCTGGTTTCTTTCACTCAGTTGTCTTTGAAGTTCTTAAAGGCAAACCTACTTTTGCAGATGAGTAGTATCCTCCACACAAGTCCAGTTCCTCTAGGGGGAGGAATTGGTACTGCCTAATGAAGTATTGATGCTTTGATGGCTACAGGATTCTAGGTTGGGAGCTATTTTCTTTCTGTATATTGAAAATAACATTTCATTGTTTCAGGTTTCTCCTGTTGGCTGAAGTCAGCTTCTGGTCTATTATTCCTTTAAGGGTAACTTTTTTTTTCCTTGGCTGCTTTTGAGATGTTTGCTTTTTGTAGATTATATATATATATAAAATCCTAAATATATATGTATGTATATATGTAGATTTCTTTATTCTAATTTGCATTTGTTGGGCTTCTTGAATCCATGCTTTGGTGTCTGATTATTTGGCACTGATAAAACATCTTATTCAGATTGCTTCTGCTCCATTTTTCTCTTCCTTTGGGACTCCAGATGAATATGTATATGTATATTTTAGATTTTCTCATATCTTAACTTTCTTTTGTGTCTTCATGTCACATTCTAGAAAGTTTTTTCAGCCTCTTCTTCTGGGTCACTGATTTTTCTCTTTACGTATATCTAATATGAGAATAAACCCTTCCAGTGAGGCTTTTCGCTTTTGGTCATTGCATTTTACCCTCTAGAATGGATTATCAAAAGGACAGATTTGAAAGAAAACAATTTCCAAACTGCCAATTTTCAGACTTGGGTTTTTATCTCCTTGAGCAGAAAAGTGATTATTTTACAGTCTACCCTTAGTAGCCGGAGTCTAGTTAGCCTTTCTGTTGTCTGCACTGGTCTTACCTCATGCTCTTTGTTCATGTGCCTGGATTTTGTGTTCTGGACACTGTATTTGAAAAGTGATCCTCTGAGAAATGCAAGTCTAAGGTAACCACATCCAGAGTATTTATTAGCTTCTGCTCGGGGAATTTGAGTCACGAACAAGAGAGGAGGACAAAGTTGTTGGATGAAGTTAATCCAACTCCAGAAATTGAGATCTCCTGGGCATTGTGACATGAAGCCCAGCTGCTGTCCATGCAAGGACTGGTTTTCAGCCAACTTACACTCGTTCCCAGAAGTTCTGGACTCAAGTGGGAGGTCTGAGGTTTAAAATCCCGGCTCTCCTGTGGGACCGTGGAAGTGACTCATCTTCATGAATCTTCAGTTTTCTCACCTTGAATTGAGGCATCTTCTTATCTAACATATGGAGAAACTGATGCCCAGACAGGGAAGATAGTTCTTGCAACATGCTACAATTGGTGAGTAGGAACTCTAAAATATAACCTAAGCTCTTCAAGCCTGCTTTTACCTGAGATTTCAGTTTTGCAACTTGTGTTGAGGGGTCTATCTTCCCAACACCTTGCTTCCCAAGCACATAGAGGAGACTCTGCAATCCTTATCATACTTACCATAATAAGAAGGAAATATCTGAATTAGGTTAGAGGACTGGGACGCCAGGGGAGGCTGGTACCTGGCAAAGGGAAGGAAGGTTGGAGGGCAAGACAGAGCTAGAAGAGCTTGTAGGGTACTAGGAAAAGTGACATCAAAAATTTCCCGCTGTAAAGGGTATACCCATGTGCTGGTGTTGCAAACAAACAGGAGACCGGCTTGTTCCTAGCTCATTTCCTATGTTCACTCCTTCTCAGCTTCTACTATTTGTCAGCCTTTTCAGAGGGCTATTGCTGTCTGCCGGGCTGGCTCTGAGACACTGCTTCTAGCTGTTCTAGAAGGTCCCTGAGTGTGACTTAACGGGTAGATGGTTGGAAGCTGGGGAATGCTGAAACCAAGGGTACGTACAAGAGGACTTGAGGAAAGGGTTGGTATACCCCAATACAGTTTAGGGACATTATTGCCTTTGTGGGCCAACATCTTTCACAGTAGACTTTTCCTATAGAAAAGACAAGTCTTGGCAGAGGCCTAACTGCCAGGTTTCCTCCTGGCCTTGCCACATACTTCCTTATTAGAAAATACATTTTGCCAAGAAAATATGCTTCTTTCAGGTACTTGCCCTGGCACCTATTTGTTCTTCCATAAGCCCGTCTGAGAGGTCCTCATTCTACCTGCTGTAAGCCGCCTTTCTCCTCCAATGGCTTGTTGGGCCACACTGGGTTCCGGTTTCCCTACGTGATCCTGATTGCTATTTTCTTTGGTCTTAGAATCCCTGGCTGAGAGCTGGATAGATGGGGCAGAATCGTGGAACTTTGGTAACATCAAGGACTTCCAGGGCAAGGAGTCCAATAGTGCCCCTAATCCAGCCTGAACTGGAATTACTGCTTAAATTCTGGGGCCATGTGTGGGTCTAGTGGATACTATGGAGCTGTGACATCTTTGATTTTGTTATTAAGTTGACACAAGACAAGACCTTTAATATGTGAGAACCCAGCTCTGGAAGAAAGCAGACCACCCCCACCCCCAATTGATAACTTCTTGCCCATTGAAAAGAGATCTTGTCCACCATTGTGACCCTTCCCACCAGCACTCCCCAGGACCAACAGAGATGATAGGCACCACTTTTTGAAAGGCAAAACCACAGGAATCTCTCTTGACCCTTAACTACCCCTCTATGCGATCCCAGTATAGATCCCTCTTGACTTATGAGGGGGTTATGTAATGATAAACCCATTACAAGTTGAGAATGCATTTGATTAATACACCTAACCTAATGAACATCGTAGTTTAGCCTAACCTACCTTAAATATGCTTAGAACACTCACATGAACCTACACCTGGGCAAAATTCTCTAACAGTCTATTTTATAATGAAGTGTTGAATATCTCCTGTAATTTATTGAATACTGTACTGAAGGTGAAAAACAGAAGGGTGTCTGGGTCCGGGAGAGTTGTAAGGTGGTTGTTGACCTTCGTGATCGTGTGGCTGACTGGGAGCTGCAGCTCACTACCAGTGCCCAGCATCAGGAGACAGGATCCTCCCACATATCCCTGGTCCAGGGATTCAAATTCAAAATTCCAAGTACAGGGGCGCCTGGGGGGCTCCGTCATTAAGCGTCTGGCTTCGGCTCAGGTCATGAGCCCGGGGTCCTGGGGTCGAGCCCCACGTCGGGCTCCCTGCTCCGCGGGAAGCCTGCTTCTCCCTCTCCCACTCCCCCTGCTTGTGTTCCCTCTCTCGCTGCGTCTCTCTCTGTCAAATAAATAAATAAAATCTTTAAAAAAACAAAAGCAAAATTCCAAGTACAGTTTCTACTGAATGCATATCGTTTTTGCACCATTGTAAAGTAAAAAAAAAAAAAAAAAAAAATCATAAGTTGAACCATCCTAAATCGGGGGGATGTCTGTATCTGGAAGGACAGCGTGACCTACCTCCCTGCAGGGTGGAGAGCCCCATTAAAATGACCTTCCTACTTTTAAGGGAGGGAGTTTGGCCAGAGCAAAGCTTTTGCTTATGGAACAAAGGGTTAGCCTAGGCATGAGGGCTTATGTTTGTTTCATTTCTTTCTAAACAGTATGCATGTTCCTAATTCTGGTGACTGAAGGTCTTTGTATCACTGTTGATGAGAGGTTGGCACCCTAAGTCAAGACTTCGTCCTGTGGCTGCATCTGGTCGTTGCTCCATCTTCTATAGCCAAGTCCTCAGTTATGGCTCCTCTCTTCATGGGCTCGGCAATATCCCAGTGGTTGTGCCTCTCCTACTAGTTACCTAGGTGCTGAGCACTGTGCCAACGATCTCGTGACGAAGGCGGCCCTGGGGAGATCCTGAACAAGGAACTGTATTAAGTGTCTTTCAGGGGAAGTACTAGATGCTCTGGGAATATCACAAGCTGACTGAACATGGTCAGAAGAGGTTGGGCAGCGTGTCCAGTATTTGGGTTCTTTCAGGCTTTAAAAAGGTGTTTCTTAGGTCCTACCCGTCATTTTGACTTCTCTTCAGAGGAAAGGGTGGTTTGAATGTTAGAAGTTCTCAAAGCAGAGTCTCAGGAACTCGTTTTAGCACTGAAAATTCCCAGCCCCCACCTACTGAATGAAAGTCTGGCAATGAGGCCTCGCCATCCCTGTCCTAAAAGTCCTCAGGTGATGCTGGTGAAGTCTGAAGTTCAAGAACCATGTATCGTGCCCATGTTACTGGTGATGAATGTCTAAGGTGGCCGTCCCAGCGAGCAGGTTGAAGGCATTTATAAGGAAGGCACACAAGGGAGGAGTGGAAGGGCCGAGCTTGGAATATCTGGTACGGCCAACTTAGGAAAAAGAGATAAAAAGAAGGGCTGATGTTCTAGGATAAGTGATGGCAAACTTTTTCCATACAGGGCCAGGTGATGAATATTTTAGACCTTACGAGCCATATGGTCTGTGCCCCCCAGCTATTCCACTCTGCCATTGTGACATAGAGGCAGCCAGAGGTGGTACATAAACCAACAAATGTGACCGCCTTCCCGTAAAGCTTTATTTACAAAAAGAGGTAGCTGGATTTGGCCCTCGGGCAGTAGTTTACTAACCTCTGTTCTAGCAGAATAATTTACTGAGGTGTTTTATTTTCTGGGTGTCTGGGTCTCTCCATCTCTCTCTCTCTCTCTCTCCCTCCCGCTCCCTCTCCCCCTCCCCCCATCTGTCTCTCTCTCTGTCTTCAAAATCCCTTTTTCTTAGAACCCTGTAAAGCAGGAATTGTTCTAATTGAGGCACAGGGTGGAGCCCCCAGAGCCTACCTGTTCAGTTTCTCCTTTTTCTCAAAGTGGGTCCTAACGCTTTTTCTCAGGACACATTTTAATGTCATTGAAGTACAGTGCTCCAGTGTCTGGGCTTGGGGCCACTTAAGCATTGCCCTTGAATGAATCGGTAATTCTTCCTTAACCGACATGGGCCCGTACCCCATGCGTGGACGTAGGAGGAGGCAGTGAGGAGCCGGAGATCAGGCCTGAACCGGAGGGTCAAGGAGAGTCTCCTTTGCTACAGTGCATGGTTTCCCTCTCTCTCTGCAGGTTCCAGCCAGCCTGCTGAGGCCGAGACAAAGACCCAGAGCATGAGTCACCAATCAGACACCCTCCATCTGCCCTGTGGTCAGACGAGGGGTCAGAGCCTCGGCAGCCAGGGCACCCACACCCGGCCCCTGGAGATGATGCTGCACCTGCAGCAGACCATCGAGAAGCATATCATGCAGTTGGTCACCAGGCACCAGCAGCAGGATCTGGTGCTGGGGGACCAAAGGCATCATCAGGCCACCGGGGAGCAGGAAGCCCTCCTGGGCAATTTAGTGTCCCAGTTGGTCGGCCTCCTACAGTCTGGGGCCACGGGTGGCCTGGGGCTCCAACCGTCCTACCCTGCCCTGGATGTGAGGGGTGATGTCGGAGGTGGGCAGGAGGCCCAATCATCCGGGCAGCCTGACCAGCCAGTTCACCAACTGAAGGATCCCGAAGCGACATTTGTCAGCCAGCACCTGTCCAACCGTGGGATCGAAATCTCTGCCTCATACCAGGCCAATTTACAGGACTACAGGATTTACCAAGGAGACAAATACCATGAGGACAAGAACCCCTTGGTGAGGATGGGGGGCGGGGGGAGACACCTCCTCGAGGGCCCCGATCACTAGGATTTACTGAGTCCTGTGCCAAGTACTGGGCTCTCTCTCACTCTTCCTAGTTCCATGAAGTAGACACTATTGTCGTCTTAGAGATAAGGGAATGGGCACAGGAGCAAGGTGACAATGCCAAGAAAGTTAAGAGCTGTGTCTGGGTCCTCCCCGCGCCCTCTTCTTCATGCTTTCCCTCAGTCCCTGCTCTTGCCCACTAGGTCACGGTGGTCACAGTGCTAAGCAAACCCGCCCTCATGGAACTGAGTCTAGTTGCTGAATATTGTCTGGCACTGGGGAAAGGAACATTGTTAACAACAACCTGAGAGAAGTAAGGGGAGGCCTGATTGGGTGGTCTGAGGAGTCTTAAAGGCTGAATCAGCCAACCATGTGGTAGGGGGGGTGGGGGGTGGGGTGGGGGGTGGTCTTCCAGGTAGGAGGAACTGCAGGTGTGAAAGCTTTAAAGTGGGAAGGGCTTGGAGTGATGGGGAAATGAGGCTCCTGAGGCTAGATTGGGGAACATGAGTGACGTGACGAGAGTTGTGAGGTGTTAGGATGGTGAGGTTAGGATAGGGAGCCAGTGAGAGGCTCCCAGCAGGAGCGGTTCACAACGGCTCTCTAGCCAGAGGGTGGAGGACAGCCCGAATCATACCTTCTTTTCTGTTTCTAGCTAAGTGATATGTGGTCAATGGTCATAGGCTTTTACTGGGAACCAACTGAGTCCTGCATCTCCACTGGACTCTGAAGAACCCTATCTCCTCCAGTAACTCGAAGGGGCCTCACGTTGATGTGGAAGTAGCAGAGGTGGGCATGAGCCAGGCCCTGGGGCCAGGCAGATGGCGTTCTGCCCATCCCCGAGGTCACATGGCTAGTGGGGTAGTCCACACTTTGGAGCACCCCTCTCTTAAAGCGAGGATCATAATAGAACCTTCTTCTCAGGAGTTGTGAGAAGTAAGGCCACTGCATGAGGCACTGAGTCTAGGGTCTGGCACGTAGTAAGAACTCAGTGACTGCTCTCGGGTGTAGAAGTACTGTGTGGCTCTAAAGGGGGAAATTGCAAGCCGTACGATTTTTGAATCTGTGGCAACTTTTCTAACACTTGAAGCTGTTAGATATGGAGTGAACTGCCTCGTGGGGCAGTGAGATTTCCATTTGAAATAATCTAAGATGAGTCCTTACTAGAATGTTTAAGGAGGTCCCTAGAGGGCAGGGCAAGTGGACTGATTGATTCCTTCCATCTCCAGGGCTTCATTAACCTTGGCATCAGTGAGAATAAGCTCTGCCTTGATCTGATGACTGAAAGGGTAAGCCAAGTCTTGGGCCATGCTGGGACCCACCATTGGGTCCAGTCCCCCTAGACTGTTTCTTAGCATGTGGTAGATACAGGAATGGGACTTAGGAGTTTAGGGAAGGGAGTGGGGAAACAGCTTCTCGAATAACACATCTGACCTCCTGGCTTGCTGTGTTTAGGGGTGTATGGGTATATGGTGGGTAGGCTGCCCAGGGAGACTCTGGCCCAAGTGTTGGGTTGTGGAGGTCATCCAGTGCTCCTCAGTGAATTCTCTTTGTGTATCCTATGACAAGGAGATTGGGGGCTCCATTCACGAAGGGGCATGTGGCATGTTTCCCTATTCTTCTTCCATAAGGCCCTGGGTTGTAGGGCAAACACCCATATGCATCCTAGCGGTAGGATGAGGCTGGTTGGTCTTCCCTGGTCTGGCTGTCCTCATGCTCTGTTTGTCAACAGTTGAGTCAGAGTGATACGAACTTCACTGAGGATGTCCTGCTGCAGTATTCTGATTGGTCAGGGCAACCATTGTAAGTAATTTCCAGATCTAAAGTCTCATGGCCCCCAGACGCCTATTCTCAGGGAGGGAAGGACCCAGGGCACCAGATTCTTGGTTGGCTACCTCCCTATTTCTCTGGGTAACAACTTCTAGAAAATGTCTAGAGTGAAACCGCCTCGGGAGGGAGCCCGGTATAGTAGAAATAGCACTGCCCTGTATTCAGAAGGCCTGAGGTCTCATCCAAACTCTCACACCTATTGTCTGCATCACCTGGGGAGTTGATGGCATCAGCCAGTAGCCCTGTGATACGAGGTTGGATGCCTTGGTCTTTGGAAAAGACTGTAGACCTTGAATAAGGAAAGGCCCCTGGGCCTGGGCACCACAAAGTCTCTCTGGGTCTACCCACAGCCTGCGGGAAGAGGTGGCCCGGTTTCTGACCTACTACTGCAAGGTACCTGCTCAGCTCGATCCAGAAAATGTGAGTCCGTTTCCAAGCCTCACTGCCACCCTGGTAGAGGACTGTATTCTTGGGGGACTCGCTGCATTTTCTAGAACCAGCAGAGACCCTAGGGCCAGGGCAGAGCCAAGGCCAATGGGTCACAGACGAGGAGGTTCCTGGTGCCTGTCCCTCCTAGGGGGAGGGAGACAAAGGGGCTAGACCTTCTTACATGGGGATTGGTTTTTGACTTCTGCCTTCTGTGCATCTTCAGGTAGTTGTTCTAAATGGCTGCTCTTCTATATTCTCCACACTGGCCATGGTTCTGTGTGATCCAGGTGGTAAGTCAGTGGGCTCTGCTTTCCCTCAGGAAAAGAGCAGCTCATGGGCACTGGTCCTTAGGGAAGAAGAATATCTTGAGGAATATCCGAGGCCTTACCCCTAAAGTGTTGGAACTTCTACCCTGATTAGAACATCTTCCTACTATTTCCAAAGGAGTGACAGATTTGGGTCCCCATTTAATATGGAAGGAAAACATGGGACAGTCCTCAAGGAGGTATGCCTCAGAAAGAGTGACAATTGGAGCCAACTTATTATATTATTAGCTGGGCTTCTGGACTCAACACCAGTACAGAGAAGCCCTGGTAAACTAGCTTAGAGCAGTTAGATTTCCTAACTCCTGTGTCCTCCTCTGCCCACCCCGCAAAGGCAAATTAGTTCTAGATCAGATAAGGCCGAGGGATCTGTTCTCAGTCTCCCTCCTAACAACACCCAAAGAAGAGTCTCCGGTCTTAATGAGCTCTCGCTCCATAGAAGGAAGTTACCCAGATGGCCAGTTTCACTCAGAGGAGTAGGTGCTTGGTTAACTCATCTGTGAGGCCAAAGGAAGGGGAAGGAAAGAAGCCAGGAGCTCACCAGGTGCAGGTAGCCTGGGCCATGCAGAGAGATGAGTGCCCTCTCTTGGCACAGACCTCAGCCTCTAATGTTTGGACAGGAGCTGGTGAGACCTGCTGGATGACTAGTGCTCTACCTGCTAGCAAGCCCATTTGGGTTTGCAACCTTGATTCGGAGCCATTCCTAGCAATATTCTTCCCCTTCTCCTTCTCTCGTGTTTCCCCACATAACGTTTATAAGAATGTAACTTTTATAGAGCCTGAGGCCAAAAATTAAGCCCCAAGTAGGAGGGATTGCCAAACTAACCTTCTCTGTCTGTAGTGTTGCTACTGGCCTGTGGGGGCGGGGGGGGGGCACAGCTGGCAGGTTCTGACTGAGACCCACCCCCCCCGACTGACAGTGTTGTCTCCCCGTGCTTCCAGAGGCCTTGCTGACCCCCACCCCCTTCTATGGCAGCTTCGTCTTTAGTTCCCAACTGTATTCGAAAGTTGAGCTGATTCTCGTCCACCTGGACAGTGAGGTCAGAATGGGGCCCCTTCCCCTGCTTTGCCCCCCGGGGCCCCAGGCAATGGACCATCCTAAGGGCATTTGGAAGGGGTAGGGGACCTCGTTCTCCTCCCATATAAGTGACAGTGGGGGGAGGATGGGGAAATTAGGGCAAGGAGGGCATGTGGGACAGCAGGCCTGGGTGTGAGGTGTTTGGCGGTGTGTAGAGGAGCGAGGGACCAGGGCTTAGAAGCTTCCAGGTGGGTGGTGCTCAGGCAGAGTGTTTGCCTCCAGAGCACGGATGCGAATCCCGACCCATTCAAGCTCACCGTGGACAAGCTGGAGCAAGCTCTGCTTGAGGTGACGCTTACAGTAAGGAGGGACCCATGTCTTCGGGGTGGGTGTTGCTGCCCCTGAGAAGGCTGGGTCCGGAGATCTGGGACAGTGTTCTCACCAAGGTGTTGTGGGCTCCTTTGGAAGGGGCGGTGTCCCAGGGGCGTGTCCCCCTAGGAGCCCTGAGCCCCTGTCTCTGGGGGCAGCCGCCAGAGCTCCTCCTTGCTCCCCCTCTGTGGGCGCTAAGAGAGCTGAGTGTTCCAGATCCTACCGAAGTTGCTGAGACCCCAACTAAAGGCCTCGGGGAGGGGATGTGTCCAAAACTGGGTATCCTGACTTGACCTTTGGCTGAACTTGAGGTAGACGTGAGGGACCTATTTTGTTCACCTCAGTGATGTTTTGGGGGGGGTTTAATTTTGGGGTTTTTTGGTTTTCTGTTTTTTTGGTTTTTTTTTTTAGGGGAAAAAGGTCAGAGGTCTCGTCCTAATCAACCCTCAGAATCCTTTGGGGGATGTCTACTCCCGAGATACACTGAAAGAATACCTGGAATTTGCCAAGAGGTAGGTGTTTCACCCCTTTAGACTACACCAAGTCCCTGAACAAGGTTCCTAGAAGTCAGAACCAGATGTAATTTACCCCAATATTTTTACTGCATAGTATACTTTGTAAAGCTATGTACAACTCACTGAAATTGAAGTGAAAAAAATGCACCCACATGCTTCAACTGAACGTTTTTTGCTATTTTGCCTTTTTTTTTTTTTTGGCCCAGGTACAGACACCTACATAACACTTGTGATCTGGTGTTTTTGCTTTTCCTCCTCTTGTCAAGTAACCACTTTCTCCCAGCATCCATTTCCCAACTGCTTGGCCTGAGGTACTGAGGCAGCCAAACTCTCAGACCCTGTGGGGTGAAGGTGTGTCCCCAGAGAACTCCCATGGACATGTTAACATCAGTTCTCTCTGGAGTCTTGAAATAGCCCTCTTCGTTAGGGGGTGCTAACCTCCCATTTTCTAGAAGAATCACACTTACCCAAATTTCATAACTCTAGTCCAGACCAATTCATGGCAGAGGGACAAGAGGAAGAACGCTGGACGTGTGTGGGCTGGAACTTGACAGAACTGGGTTCAGATCCCAGCTCGAGCACCTGCTAATTGAGGAGACTAACTTTGTCTCAGAAACGGTTTCTTCATCCATAAAATGGAGATACCAGCACTGCTTCAGGGGGCTGTTGGGAGAAAAAACACGGTGACCTGCATTAGCACTTAGCCCACTTAATGCCACTATTCAATCAGGACCCTGGGTGGGAGCTCCTGACTATACCAGATATAAAACTCTTTGGGACACGCAGCCCTCCTCATTGCATTGGTTTCTGCTTGACGGCCAAAGGGTTAGATGTTCTGTGGAGTGTCTTTGGGTCCTGTTCCTTCCTACCCACCCCTGAGCCAGGTCTAAGGTGTACACCCCTTCTACCTTACCATGCCCCTTGGAAGGGTTGGATGGGCTGCCAGAGCAGTAAGAGTATCTGAACTGTGTCCAGAAAAGCCCATGAAAGAAAGAGAGTTGAGATGAGAGAGAACCTAGATAATGTTCTCCCTCTTTTGCCCAACCTGCAGGTACAACCTACATGTGATTATGGATGAGATTTACATGCTGTCTGTGTTTGATGAATCCATCACGTTCCACAGCGTTCTGAGCATGGAAAGGTGAGTTTGTTGGCCTCAGTTGGAGTCTGGAATGCAAGCCATGAGGTTCCTGCTTTTGCAGGGTGTGTTCATGGGCCATAAACTTAATTGGCTACGTGCTAGGAACTGGGGCCAAGTGCCACCTGGAGTGTGAAAATGAGCAAAGCATCCTCTTTCCTCCCAAGTGTCTTTTTGCAATGCTGTTTTGTACATGAGATAACTTGAAGGCAAGGTAGAAAGCGCACTATCACACGTCTACATAGAGCCCCACAGAAGGTCAGGGTAGGAACTTCTTTATAAGTAGTGCCTAGGGAAAGAAGAGAAATAGGCCAGAACTTACTTTCTTTTTTTTTTTTTTTAAGATTTTATTTATCCATTCATGAGAGACAGACAGAGAGAGAGAGAGAGGCAGAGGCAGAGGGAGAAGCAGGCTCCCCGCCGAGCAGGGAGCCCAACGTTGGACTCGATCCCAGGACCCTGGGATCATGACCTGAGCTGAAGGCAGACGCTTAACTGACTGAGCCACCCAGGCATCCCAAGGCCAGAACTTTCTTAAGGGTAGCATGTGGCCCTAAGATACGATCCCCCCCGCCAAAGCAAGGCAAGGCCATGCCCGGCAGAAGGAACAGCTCTACCCGAAGTGGGGCAGTTAGAAATAGGTGAGCACATTTTAGAAACGGTGGGTGGCCCACGTGTGTGAAGAGCTGATTGCCAAGAAGGTGGCTTATGGACCAGCTGCAGGAAGGCTCTGAGCCAGGCCGAGGGGCCTGGGCTTCATTCAGTGGGCATTCGGGAGCTGTCCCATCTAGTTCCCCAAGGATACCTTTTGCTGACTCCCTGGCTGTTAACTGGGGCAACTGTTTCTTGAACTTTGGGCCCCATAGGCTCTTATGTCTAGGAAGGACCTCAAGTCCGTTTTCCTCTCTTGCCCTCATTCACCCCAAGTTTTCATCCTTTCAATATGTCTCTATAACCTTGATTGTACTATCTCCTCTCCAGTTTGCCTGACCCCAACAGGACCCATGTGATCTGGGGCACCAGTAAGGTGAGCCCCAGCTTCCTGTCTTTGGGTAGGAAAGGAAAGGGGGCCAGGAGGTGGGCAAACCAGGTATTCCTCCCCCTACTTCTTTCCCTCTAGGATTTCGGCATCTCTGGCTTCCGCTTTGGTGTTCTTTACACGCACAACAAGGAGGTGGCCTCTGCCGTGAGCTCTTTTGGCTATCTCCACAGTGTCTCTGGCATCATCCAGTACAAGCTGTGTCGGCTGCTTCAGGACCGAGGTAGGCAGTGAGTCCCATCCCTGGGATCGTGGCTAGGCCTCATGGCCATGGGGGAGTTCCTGGGTCTGCTTGGGCTGCTGACATACCTCTAATCCACTGAGACCCTGTTCGCGGTCTCGGGTTTGATGGTGGCAGGACCAGAAGGTTGACATGCCTCTAATCCACGGAGACCCTGTTCGCAGTCTCGGGTTTGATGGTGGCAGGACCGGAAGGCTGACATACCTCTAATCCACGGAGACCCTGTTCGCAGTCTCGGGTTTGATGGTGGCAGGACCGGAAGGCTGACATACCTCTAATCCACTGAGATCCTGTTCGCGGTCTTGGGTTTGATGGTGGCAGGACCGGAAGTTTGAAGGCGGGCAGGGCTGTAGCTCAGCTCATGCAGTAGGGCACAGAGACAAGATGTAGCTGCTGGCCTAAAACACAGATGGGCTTTCATGTTCGGGAGCTGGTGCTGTGCCTGGAAAGGCAAATTGTTCTCTAAGGCTTGAAAGACAGAAACCAGTCTTAATGCAAAGTCAGTTTTCCCTCCCCAATGCCTGGCTTGCTTTAGGCAAAGATGACCCAAAAATGCCACGACTCCTTGAATAGGACTTGACTTCATCTTCCAAGGTGGCCAAAGGAGAGCTGCCATTTGGGCGAGTGGGTGTGGCTAGATCTATGGCGCCTGCGTTCAGTTTCCTCCATGGATCACAAGTGAATCCTGGCTTTAGAGGAGACCTCCCCCAACCCCCTCTATTTAATGCCATTGCCCAAACTTAGATAAGGCCCCCTTTCTTTAATTCCCTATAACAGAGCAGATGCCAGGCTGGAGGATTTAAATTAAAAGCTGGGATATAATGATACAAATTAATGTAATTTGATAATCTGGTTTAGAAACAACTTGCTTTCAGCTTTGGCAGGGGGAAAGGGGTCGATAGGAGAAATCCAACCAGATGGCTCCGTGCATGGTGCCAGGCCCTCTGATATGTGGCAGAAACCAGGTTCTTAGCCCTTTGGACACGAGTTCTCCACCTTGGACACATGGGAATTATCTGGGGAGCTTAACGCTGATATGTGGGCTCTATCCCCAAAGATTCTGGTTTAGATGATCTGGAGGTATAACCTGGGCATCGGGACTTTTAAAAAGCTCCCCAAGTGATTCTAATGTGCTGCCAGTGCTAAGAACACCTGGGCTAAGGGCCTCCCCAAGCATATCTAGGTTTCTCGAAGTCCACTGTGTGAGGCTCTGAGTATCTGCCCAGTTGGCAACAGCAGCATCTATCCCCTTTGGGGGCACCCCAACTCTTTGTATCAGAACATTCCTACTGGACTATTGAGAAGGTGTGCTGGGTATGGCTACCATCAGCCCAGATATAACACAGAGCCCGTCTTGGATAGAAAGAGCTGGTACAAAGCCCAGGGAGGGAGCCTTTGATAAGGCTGCAGATCTCTGCCACCAGACCCGTGACGGCTATCTTCCCCCTACCCGTCCAGAGTGGATTGATGGAGTGTACCTGCCCACTTACCGCTCCCGGCTGCGGAGAGCTCACAGATACATCACTAGGAAGTTGAAGGCATTGGGGATCCCTTTTCTCAACCATGGCTCTGGCCTCTACGTCTGGATCAACTTGAAAGTGGTGAGCCCTGGGAATGGGGTGTGGTATTCTTGGGCAGCCCTGCCTGATGCGTCTTTGGCTCAGCCCTGCCCTTCTGCCTTCCCTAGTGCCTGGATCCGTGCACCTTTGAGGAAGAGCGGCTGCTCTGTCGCCGCTTCCTGGATAACAAGCTGATCTTGTCCCGAGGCAAGACCTACATGTGTAAGGAGCCTGGCTGGTTCCGCATCGTCTTTGCGGATAGGCCCCTCCGGCTAAAGCAAGGTGAGTGGTCCCGACCTCCCCCTGATCCTGGCGTCCTTCAAAGATGCCCCATCAACTCCTCTATCGCCCAATTCCTGGATCTTCTCTTTTTTTTGGCCTTTAGCAGCCTGTGGCGCCAGGCCCTGCTGTAACATCTGTTTCTACCTTCATGTCCTTGAGCTCCTTCACAAACAGGAACCCATAGATAGGCCCGTGAAGAACACCGTACCCTTTGGGTATCTGTTCTGTGGCTGCATTGAGCAGGCCATGGGGTCTATCCACTAAGAAGTGGTGCGCTGCCCTTTGGGGCTAGCGGTTCGGCAGGGGAGATAGACCAGTAGGGCCGTGGGGGTTCCTGTACATTACACGGCGGAGTTCAGAGTCTCCTCTGAAGGTTTTGGAGAATCTGACCTTCATTTTGCCAGTTTTCTATTGTGTCTCGCCACGTGCCAGATACTGTTCTACCTCTGGGAATAGACCCATTAATGAGAACATTTATGTCACAGAAATACCTTTTGGAGAACGGACTGAGCAAATAGAGGCAGATAGAAAACGTGATGAGGCCAAGGCCATGAGCCAGGTTACAGGATTTGATATGCGAGCTGAAGGTGTCTGGCAGACAGATGCTGGGATAGTGAAGCTTCATGAGAGCAGGTAGACTTGGAAATCCATCCCAAAGAAGGGAGGACTGAACGTCAGCATCCCTGAGCGAGGGGCTCTGTGGTGGTCTGCCAGGCTCTGGGGATGTCTGGGCTCCACCCACAAACCCACTAAATCTTCATTTCTCTCCCTGTTTGGACCCTCTAGCCATGTATCGGTTCTACCAGGTGCTGGAGGAGCAGAAGTGGGATCTGAGAGTGAAGCAACCGGAGAGTGCACAGAAAGAGTAAGTGGTCTGCCTCCCACCCAGCGGCTGCAGCCAGTCACGTGCTCAGGGACTCCCTGACGTCAGCCTCTGGGCCAGAAGCCTGGGGTTTGGGCCTGGTGTTGTGACTGAACCAACAGTGCACTCCTCCGGGAATGGGCTTCTCTGACCCAGTCATCAACCTTCTCCAGCTGAGCATCTGTCGCTTTGGAAGCTTTGCATCTTTTTAGTCTTTGCTAGCCATGTGTGTGTATGTGAAATGTTATGGGGTTGGGGTGGGGGTTTGCTGGGTCCCGATTTTGATGGTTTTATTTTTGTAGTCCGCATCCAATAAATTTCATGTTCTCTTAAATTCTAGGCTTATTTTCTTTTTTACATTCTTTGTATCACCTCTGGGAGATTTTTTTTTTGGGGGGGGGGTCTCTTTTAAATTCTAAGGCAAATTGTATGTGAAGAATACTGTCCAGGGAAGGTGAAGAAGGAAAGAAGTGATCCCTAACTGACAAAGCACATTCTAGATGTCAGGATCCTATGTGACATCGTATCCCACAAGATCACACCCACCTTGCTCATGTGTGGCTGCAGTGCAGGGTAAGGGTGTAGTGCGAGATGTTCCTTCTTCTAAATAGGAGTTCTTTCCATTTGCGCTTTTTCAAAAGGCTTTTATTAATTAAAAAAAAATTTTTTTAAGTATTTTATTTGAGAGAGAGCATGTGAGCGCACAAGCGGGGGGAGGGGCAGGGGAAGAGGGAGAAGCAGACTCCCCACCAAGCAGGGAGCGCAACACGGGGCTCAATCCCAAGACCCCAAGATCATGACCTGAGTGAAGGGAGCAGATGCTTAACCGACTGAGCCTCCCAGGCGCCCCTCAAAAGGCTTTTAAAATGAATCTCTAGTGGGGTCTTCCATTTTCATCTCTAGTGTTTTCAGCCGTTCAAATCACACCACCTGGGAGTTTCTCGGTAAAGCTCTTGAATATCTGCACTTCAGTCGGAGGACTGCGGCTATGACGTGAGCCTGGCACAGATGACCACATTTTATAGATGACAAAAGAGCTTTTAGCACCAACTGATGGCTTTAGTCAGTCATTTGGCTTTGTGACCATCCTCTCTCTTGGGTCCAGATTTGGTGGTTCTTGTTCTTCAAAGACAATCTTTTTCTTTTCTTTTTTAATCAACAAAAGCAGTATTCCAGCAAATCCTGATTCTTTAGGTTTTTTGTTTTGTTTTGTTTTGCTTTATATCAGTGTTCGTTAGAAGTTGACTAATAGGGTAACAGACACAGAGTGGGAATTCACTGGATGAATGAGAGAGCTCATGGGACCAGAGAGAAAAATGCAGATGTGAAGGATGAGAAGCAGAGGTGTTCTTGGGATCTCTGTAATGGGGCCTAATAGTCTCATCAGGACACTGTCCTCAGTTGAAAGGGATGGTGCCTTCCATGGAAGGGATGGACTCTTTTGTATCCCATTCCACTCAAGATTTGAACGGTTGACTGGAGAAAACTTAATATCTCCCTATCCATGAGCATGGAATCTCCTTCCATTTATTTAGGTCTTTAATTTCACTCAGCAAGGTCTTTATGGCTTTCAGAGCACACATTTTGTCCTACACACATCTTGTTAAGTTTATCCGTATACTATGCTTTTCATGTTCTGCTAAAGGTATTGTTAACTTCATTTTCTAATTGTTTGTTGCTAGTATGAAACAATTGATTTTTGTATCTTGTTATCTATCAAGAGCTTTGAAGGCCCTGAGATTTTACCCTACGTACAAACAGCTTTCATGGATGCTGGCAGAAGGCATGAGAATTCTGGGTCAGAGAATTATTACTCACAACAGTAGGAGGAATCAGAGTATCAGCTTTTGGTTCCCCAAGCCCTGATTCCTACAGGGAAAAGTGAGGAGGACCCGCTGATGACTGCACATGCAGTGGGGTGTCCTGCAGAAGAGGAAACCCAAGCTTAAGGAACAAGATTCTTTTATGGTGAGCAGTAAGCTTGCCTGAATTCTGGCCCCAAAGGAAACATTATCTTTATTATATTGAGTAATAAACCTACCCTTTGCTCTAGAGGGAGACACTATTGCTATCATCCAATGCTGTTCACTCTACACGTGTGTATATATGTGTCTATGTACGTGAGTGTGTTTCTCCTTGAAGACAGCCTAGAACAAAGACAGTCAGTGCCCCTCCTTGTAAGACAGGCAGAAACATGAGAGACCCGGGAAGAATCCTCTCCTGACAGTATCTTGTGACCTTGCTAAACTCATTATTAGCCCTAATAGCATGGTGGAGGGGGGGATTTCTTTGAATTTTCAATGTATACAATCATGTTGATTATGAATAAAGGTGATTTTCCTTCTTCCTTTTTAGTATTTCTAATTTTTCCATTCTAATTGCATTGCCTAGAACCTCCAGTACAATGTTAAATAAAAGTAGTGAGGGAGGACATTCTCGTTCTCAATCTTAGTAGGACTGAGGTCACTCTTTCTCTTTTTTTTTTTTTTTTTAAGAGCAGGGGAGGGGGTGGGGAGCCAGAGGGAGAGGGAAAGAGAGAATCTTAAGCAGGCTCCATGCCCAGTGAGTAGCTGATCTCACAACCCTGAGATCATGACCTGAGCTGAAATCAAGAGTCAGACGCCTAACCGACTGAGCCACCCAGGCACTCGACTCTTAAGTACAATGTTACTGTAAGTATTTTTCATACTGCCCTTCACCAGATAAGAGTTCCTTCAGTTCCTAGTTTGCTGAGAGTTTTTCCCATGAATAAGGGTTCAATTTTTGTCATATGTTTTTTATCTATACCTCTACAGAAGATATAATTGTTTTAAGTATTAATGTGGTAAATTACATTGAATCTTTTTATTATTAACATAACGTATTATTTGTTTCAGGGGTACAGGTCTGTGATTCAACAGTCTTGCACAATTCACAGTGCTCACCATAGCACATACCCTCCCCAATGTCCATCACCCAGCCACCCCATCCCTCTCGCCCCCCCCCACTCCAGCAACCCTCAGTTTGTTTCCTGAGATTAAGAGTCTCTTATGGTTTGTCTCCCTCTCTGGTTTCGTCTTGTTTCATTTTTCCCTCCCTCCCCTATGATCCTCTGTCTTGTTTCTCAAATTCCTCTTATCAGTGAGATCATATGATATTTGTCTTTCTCTGATTGACTTATTTTGCTTAGCTTAATACCCTCTAGTTCCATCCGTGTCATTGCAAATGGCAAGATCTCATTCCTTTTGATGGCTGCATAATATTCCATTGTGTGTGTGTGTGTGTGTGTGTGTGTGTGTGTGTATGTACACGTACATATATATACATACCACATATTCTTTATCCATTCATCTGTTGATGGACATCTAAGCTCTTTCCATACATAGTTTGGCTACTGTGGACATTGCTGCTATAAACATTGGGGTGCATGTGCCCCTTTGGATCACTACATTTGTATCTTTGGGAATTACATTGAATCTTTTAAATGTTAAGCCAACATTCTATTCCTGCAATAAGGTGCACTACATTTGTATCTTTGGGAATTACACTGAATCTTTTAAATGTTAAGCCAACATTCTATTCCCGCAATAAGGATGCACCTCCTCGTATATATTGCTGGATTTGGTTTGATATTAAGAATTTTACATTGGGTGGTGGGCTCCCCCCACCAAAAGAATTTTATATCTATTTTCATGAGGAGTATTGTGCTATAATTTTCTTTTGAGTAATGCATGGTTGGTTTTGGTATCAGAGTAATACCTCATAAATGTTTTGGAAATCTTCGTTCCTGAATTTTCTGAAAGTTTGTGTCAATTTTTTTAAAAATTTTCAAATATTTGGTAAAATTCACCTGTAAAGCCATCTGTATAGGAGTTTTCTTTACGGGAAGGTTTTTACTCATGAATTTAATTTCTGTAAGAGATATCGGGTGATTCACATTTTCTATTTCTTGTGTCAGTTTTGGCAACTTGTGTCTTTCAAGAAAATGTGTCCATTTAAGTTCAATTCCTGAGAATGTTAATGTTCCAGACTGACCCTGACCTTCAAGGCCCTATCAAATGCACCCGTATTTCCAAGACTCCACCCTCTCACCAGCTAACTAGGACTTAACCTTTCAGAACTCAGCCATCATTTCCTTAGTGTTTATAGCAATTACATGTATGTAGGCCTTCCCATGTGGGGCCAGTGCATGTGTTGGGGTTGGGGGTGAATCTCCCTGCTGCTTGCTTCCATGGCACCAGGTAATCTCTTTCTTAATAGTCCTCCCATTTGGGGCACGTGGGTGGCTCAGTCGGTTAAGTGTCTGCCTTCTGCTTAGGTCATGATCCTGGGGTCCTGCCATGGAGCCCCGTATCAGGCTCCCTGCACAGGGGAAAGCCTGCCTCTCTCTCTCACACTCCCCTTGCTGGGCTCTCTCTCTCTCACTGTCAAATAAATAAATAAAATCTTAAAAAAAGAAAATAGTCCTCCCATTTGTATGTCTGCCTTCCCAAACAACCAAAGGCCCACTGTTTGTTTTGCTTATCACCGTATCCCAGCACTTTGCAGAGATCTGGCACAAGACAGGCATTCAGTAAGAGTACTTATCAGAATTACATAGACTATGACTTAAATGGAGAGAACTGGCTTGTTTTACAGAACATCACACAGAGGCCCAACAAAGTCATGAGAGCTGCTTTAGGTCAAAATGTTCCTGGCAAGGCCAAAGAGCAAAGAAGTGGAGTAGTCAGAAGACCGCTAAGTCTTCCCAGCCATACTTGTATTGAGGGATCCTGCTTATTTCATGGGGAAAGGAGACGTTTTCTATTCAAGGCTCTGCGCAGGCTGGGGCCTGGGTAGCCTAACTCACTGCCGAAGCCCCAGAACGTGTAGGGGTCTGTGGCAGAGTTCAACAAATGTCCCACGGAGCGAAAGGAGAATTTCAATACCGGTGGATAAACTCTCCTAGGGGAAAGATGTTTTAACGATGCCCTCGCTTTAATCGGAAAGGCTTTTCCGTGGGTGCAAGCAGGCATATGTTTGCCAAGTAACCTCCGGCACTCTAAGTGCTTCCAAATCAGGAAACTGAGGCTGGGAGGTAGAGGGAGGCGCCCCCACGTGCCAGCCGGGAAGACCAGGGCCCGCAGGCCGACCCTTCGCCGCGGTGGTCTTCTCGGCTTCTGCTGCCTCCGGGGAAGGGGTCGGCACCGGGGAGGGTGGGGGCGGAGGCAGGGATCCGGCACCCGGAGCGGCCGAAACCCTCCCCACCCCCCAGCGCGGGAGTCACGCCCGGGCGTCCAGGAGGCCGGGCGCCGGAGGCCGGGTTCCGGCAGCGGAAGGGACCCGGGGCGCACGGTTCCAGCCGGGGCCCGCCTTCCCTAGCGCTGCCCGGGGCTGCGATCCCGCTTTGCTGGGCAGCGAACGGGGCCTCCCCGGGCGCGGGCGGCCCGGCTCACACGTCCTCGTCCCGGAACCTCAGCCGGCTGGTCTCGCGAGGCTCAGCCGCCCGCCGAGGCCTCGGCCGTCCCTCCCCGGCGTCCGCCCCGCCCCCCCACCCCCCCGCGCAACTCCGCGGCCCGGCAGCCGGAACCCGGGGCCCTGAGCTCCCGCTCGGCCTCCCTCCCGCCGCGCCGCCCGTCCGCCGGCCTGCGTGTCGCGGGTGGGGAGCGAGGTGAGCGCCCCGGAGAGCCGGCCACGTGGTGTGGGGGCGGGAGGGTGCTTCGGGGAGCCGTGTTTACCCGCGGGGGCGCCCCGGGGGTCAGGGCCGCTGGCTGTCCCCCGGCACTCGGTGTGTGGGTTTGCCTCAGGACCGGGGAACTCGGCGAGGAGCGATGATAACCTACTTTACCGAACTTGATCCACGAGCCCGGATTGGCTCTAAGCGCTTTATCTACGGGAACTCACACATTTATAGCCTCCCCATGCCCTGCGGTTTTACGCGCGCTCTGCCGATGAGGAAAGTGGCTTAGAAAGTGGAGGAGCTCACAGCCGCGGGCAGGAGGAGACCACCCTCTCCTGACACCTGTGCCTCCCTCCACCTGGCGGGAGGCCGGCCCCTGGAGCTCGGCCGGGGTGCCTGCCCTTGGGAGACGCCCAGTCGTCCTCCCCTTGGTCCCCACCCACCACCCCGCTCCCCATCACCAAGTGATCTCCTGCCCTTTAGCCCCGCTGACATCAATCACCGCAAGACTCCTGGGACTCCCGGGCTCTTTCTGCTTAAGTCAGAACATTTTACCCTGGTGTTTTGAAATTGAGGTCAGCAAAAATGGAAAAAGAACGTTGGTGACCCCTTGGGCTGCAGAATGAAAAGCTCCCATAAATGTAAAACAAGCGAAAGCGGCTATACGGGACATCATATAAAAGTAGCAAGCCCAGCCCCTGGCCCTGAATAGATCCTTAACAGAATTTACTTGTTGAAGCCACTGCACACATGGTTACGACTAGTAAGGGACACAGGAAATGGTGATACATAAACATAAAGGAAGGGGCAGACGGAGAATGGGAAGGACCTCTTGACTCCCAATTCAGGTTTGCTGCTGTGAAAAGCCCTTCTTTTCTGAATGCTGAATTCAGGCCCTGAATACTTTTGTCCTTTTGCAGATGTTCACTCTGCCTCAGAAGGAATCCAGGGCACCTGCCACCTGTCCGGGCTCAGCCTCCACACAGGACCTGGACAGTAACTATGGGGATGGTCTGGAAAGAGAATGCTCCAGAAAACCAGACCGGAAGATGCTAGAGTTTTGTGGAGCGGGTGATCCCACTGCCATGTTGTCCTCGGGCAGCTCCTACCTGTCCTCTAGGGGAGGCGTCATTAAGTGGTTCTGGGACTCGGCAGAGGAGGGTTACAGGACCTACCACACGGACGAGTATGATGAGGATAAGAACCCCAGTGTGAGTGAGACCCCTGTCCCCACCGGAGGGACTGCAACCAAGGACTTGACCAAGAGGTTGTTCTAGATGTTGGGGTTACATCCGTGAGCAAAAGCAAAGTTCCTGCCCTCATGGAGTTTTTGTTCTACTGGGGGAGGCAGATGGGGAACAGGCCCCCCTCCCCCAAAAATCCCTGTAATAGATGGTGATAAGTTCTGTAGAGAAGATAAAGCAGGGTAAAGAGGATAGAGAATGCTGGGGCAGTCTGGGGATGTTGCTGTTTTAGGTAAGGTGGTCACAGAGGGCCGCTTTCCTAAGGTGACGATTCGAGTAGAGACCTGAAGAAAGCGGAGGATTCTGTAGTTATGTGTTTCTGTGTAACAAATTACCCTAGATTTCAGCAGCTTAAAAGAAACATTTCATAATTTCTGGGGTTCAGGATCTGGGTGGGTGCCTCAGGCTCAGAATCTTCTGTGAACTTGCGGTGACGCCAGGGTTGTGGTCTCATCTTAGGCTTGACTTGGTGGGGGGCATGGGAGAGGATCACTTCCAGTCTTGTTCTTGAGGGTGTTGGCAGGCCCCAGTCCCTGGTCACACGGGAAGCTCCTCAGAACTGCCTCATGACATGGTGGCAGGCTTCCCCCAGGGCAGGCGATCCAAGAGAGAAGGAGACACCATGAGTACCCAGGATGGAAGCCAGGGACTTTATAACCTATTCTTGCAAGATGTCACATCTGCATATATTCTGTACGTGAGAAGTGGGTCACTGGGTCCAGGCCACACTCATGGGAAGGCCAAGGAAGGGTGTTTGGAAGGGCAGGACCACTCCCGCTTTGCTTTTCTGCCTCGGTGTGCATCTCGGGCCTTCCTTCAGGACCCCTCGGCTATGCTCACCCTGTCTCCGTATCTCTGTCTCCAGGGCATCATTAACTTGGGCACCAGCGAGAACAAACTCTGCTTTGACCTGCTGTCCAGTCGGGTAAGTCCTGGTGCACCTCTGGGTGGTATCAGTAGCTCCCAGGGACTGTCTGCTCTTGGACTTCCCTTGAAGGCTTCCCTGACCAGAGCCTGCTGCTTGCCTCCGTAGCCCTGGCCTGAGAGTCAGCCCACCCCGGTTCCAGATCTGCCTCAGGGACAACTTTCTCTGTGGTCTTGGGCAAGTCACTTCCCTCTTTGGGTCCTGCTTCTTCATCTCTTCCCCATACTCAGTCCCTCCTGCTTTCACGGAGGTGGCGGGGAGAGCACTCAGTGGGGTGTGGTCAGTATTTATCAACCACGTCTGGGGTAGGGAGGACTCTGATTTGCAGCTTTTGCAAATTCCCATAGTGTAAATACTCCCACCATGGCTGATTTCAGGCCACGGATGTGACATCCCTGCACTCAAAGTTGGGCAAAGGGGGGTTGTGACACCCATTATGTAGTGTGCCCACCATGTAGACACAAAGATGGAAATAGCCTCAAGAACACACATAAACATGTAATAACATAGGGACACCTGGGTGGCTCCGTTGGGTAAGCGTCTGCCTTCGGCTCAGGTCATGATCCCAGAGTCCTGGGATCGAGCCCTGCATAGGGCTCCCTGCTCGGCGGGGAGCCTGCTTCTCCCTCTGCCTGCCACACCCTGCTTGTGCGTGCGCTCTCTGACAAATAAATAAAATCTAAAAAAAATGTAGTAACATAATCAGAAGCAGTGATGTTTTAGTTATTACCTTGTTTATAGTGTAATTTACTTATTTATACATTTATAGAATTTAATTATTTTAAATGGTTGTTTTTTTAAAACACAGCATGTAAAATTCCTGGAAACTTCATAGTTCGAGCCATTTCTAGCAAACCAGTGAAAATGCCTGATAAATGTGTCTCCCAAGGCCCCACACTCAAAGTTTGGGATTGTAGAGAAAGCGACGGCTAACCCAAAGGAACTTATTTCCGAGGGTGACAAATCCAAGACCCAAGGGGAGAGGGGTGTAGGAAGGGGGTTTAAGATGCGTGTTCTATCTAGCAGTTCCCTGCTGCACTGTCCAATAGAAGTAAAATGTGAGCCACGAATATAACTTAAAATTTTCTGTTAGATAAGTAAAAAGGAATTGGTAAATTCATCTTAGTAATATATTTTATTTAGCCCCATACATCCAAAATAGGACCCTTTCAACATGTAATCAATCTAAAAAATTAAGATATGTTACATACTGTTTTCATGTCAAGTGTTTCAAATCCAGTGGGTCTCAGTTCAGACTAGGCGCATTCCAAGTGCTCAGGAGGCACACGTGGCTACGGCCTTGCTGCTGGATGGTGTGGCTCCCCGGGCCGAGGGAGAGACAGAAGAGGCTGGAGTCATATACAGGTGGCTGACTGCCCTTCTTCTTTGGTTCACTCCCCAAGACTTCTACCTTTCCTTGACATTGTGTCTGTGATGCCCAGCGAGTTACTAACCCTGCACCTGGTCAGGGTGGGGACGGTGTAGAAATGGCCACACTTTCCGAAGCGTAAGGTCGAGCCGAGCCTGCAGGAACACAATGGCCCGAGTCCCTCCAGAAGTTGGAGCCAACACCGAGGTGATGGCACCCAATTCTGGGACGCCTTTTGTCACTCCAGGGAGAAGCTGAGTAGCGTGGTCTCTGTCATTGCCTGTACAAATCCACCCCCCTGGGTTATTTATGTATTTATCTATTCAAAAGATTTATGTATTTATTAGAGAGAGAGAGAGAGAGCACAAACATGGACAGGGCAGAGGGAGAGAGAGAGAGAGAGAAGTTCGAGCAGACTCCCTGCTAAGCACGGAGCCCGACATGGGGCTCGATCTCACGACCCTGAGATCCCGACCTGAGTGGAAATCAAGAGTCAGATGCTTAACAGACTGAGCCACCCAGGCGCCGCCACCCCTCTAGGTTTTGAGATGTCAGTGTTGTTTAAAGAGCACTGGATTAGGAGTCAGACCTTCTGGGTTTTGTCTCAGCTCTGCTACTTGCTAGCTCCATGACCTTGGCTGAGTCACCTCACTTTTTTGAGCCTCGGTTTCCTCATCTGCAAAATAGGCAGGAGAGTGCTGTGCCTGTGCTGTCTGTCTGCTGGTTTCTCTGATGAGTGGACCAAGGCCAGGCTTTACTGGCACGGGTACAGTGTGGATGTGGGTGCAAGCACCGGTGGTCACCATGAGGGTGTGTGGCCCTCAGCCCCGCTCTTCCCTCTGTCCCCAGCTGAGTCAGAGCGACATGCTGCGGGTGGAGCCGTCCCTGCTGCAGTACCCTGACTGGAGGGGACATCGGTTGTAAGTAGCTGCCGTGGGCCGGTGGTTCTCAGCCCCGGGTGGTCTTGCTCCCTAGGGGACCTAGGGCGTCTGGAGACACTTCTGGTTGTCACAACTGGGAAGAGGCTGTTACTGGCATTTACCGGGTAGAGACCAGTGATGCTGCTAAACCTCCTACGAGGTGCCCAGGATAGCCCCCACAACAAATAATTATCCCACCCCAAATGTGAATATGGCAGGTGGAGAAAGCCTGCCTTAGGCCGAGGGCCCGTCCTGGGGGCCTGGCGATCCGGGGGTCTCCTGGAGCATCTGCAGGGATCTAGTCCCTCTGCTGGTTCCTCCCCAGCTCAGGAGCTCTGTCGCTTGCGTTCCCTGGGTCAGAGGCCTGCGGAGGGCCTTCAGGCGTGGAGTCCTTGTCTCCGCTCTCTCAGTAGTTTTACAGGAACCAGGATCAGCCTTGGGGGGCTGCTGGAGAGGGTGTTTTCCTCCTGGTCAGATGGGGTGTGCTAAATAATGCTAATTGGAGTTGGTACTTAGTGAGCACCTGCTGGGGGCAGCTGCTGTTCCAAGGGCTTAGTGGCCAAACAGGACTTGGTTCCAAAGCGCATGTTCCTATAGTAATGAGGATGGAGGGCCCCGGAGACAGCCCGCTGGCTCGAGTGTGGACTCTGCCACTGACCAGCAGGTGACTTAGTTCCTTCAAGCCTCAATTTCTTTGTCTGTAAAATGGGAATAATAATAGCATCTTAGGGGTGTTGTAAAGATTGAGTGAGTAAAATTCCCCAGGTAACTCCTGCATAATGCACATGCCGCAGCAGTGACTCTGACGATGGTTGTTGTTACAATAACGTTATTGCCATTAGCTAGATCTACATGTAGCTGGAGCTGTTTTTGATATCCCTGAGGCCTGTGGGTTAGGTGGGTCGGGTGTCCTGGAACTACAGAGGAGGCAAGTCTCCGCTTGTGGGTAGTGGTGGGGCAGGGGGCTTGTGGGCCCTGCGGTGTGGAGACCACGCTGACCCCACTGCCCTCGTGGAAAACGAGAGAAGGTTAATGGCATCTGGGTGAAGATTCACCAGAGGAGCTTTGGGATGGACCGTGGGTTGGGGATCATCTGACAAGCGCCGCCCATCTCTCTGTCTGATCTCCAGCCTCCGGGAGGAAGTGGCCAGATTCCTGTCTTTCTACTGCAAGAGCCCCACACCCCTTAAGCCAGAGAATGTGAGTATTCCCCTCCTCGGCTCTCCCCTGCTCTTCTGCCCACCTCCCCCATCCCATGCAGGGGTAGCGTGGGCTTGAGATCTGCCTTTCACTCGGTTTTGACGTGTTTCCAGGTGGAATTAGGAACACCCCCACGCTTTGTCTTCCTCATCCTAGATATTTAGGATATAATTTGGTTACAATTTCTGCTCCAGTTTGTTCTATGGTCCCTCGTTGCCTGCATACCTTCCGGCAAGACTCTCTGAGTGACCAGCTCCCTCTTCCTTGCTCTGTTGATCCAGAGCGTGGTCCAAAGAATAAGCCACAGATGCACTTGGCTGTTAGTCAGGAGAGGCCTTTGGCTTCCTCTGGTGGCTTTGCTGTGACAGAGGGCACCAAGTTGGGGCCTGTCCTTCCCTCTATGCCAGCCTGGATACAGCTGTAGGTCCTTGCTCCCTCCTGGACGGATATTCATCTTTGTCATGTGGATGTGTCACCTGCAGGTGGTGGTTCTGAATGGCTGTGCCTCTCTCTTCTCGGCTCTGGCCACGGTGCTGTGTGAGGTGGGGGGTAAGTGACCCACGGCCTGCTCAGCTTTGGGGGCCGCCCTATGCCTGCAGGGTCCATAGTTGCCTGTCTTTGCGGCCTGCATTAGAATGCCTTTGGCCGTAGTAGACTACGAGACTGCAAGGGGCTTAATGGGTGGCTTGACCAGATACCCGGGTGTTGGCAGTTTCAGAGATCAACGTGATGCCAGGGTTCGGGGCCTGTCTCTGGGATGACCTTGGTTTTTCCCTTCATGTGATGGCTGTTGCATCCTTACATGACAATGGGTCCTAAAGCAGGGAGAAAGGGGAAAGGCTGTGACTTGCCTGTGTCTTTGTTTTATTGGGAGGGGGCAGGGGAGATACTCTTTCCCAAAGAAAAGTCCCAGCAGAGCTCCCCTTACATCTCGCTGGCCAGAACCGCCTCACAAACCCATTCCCAGAGCAGCCCCTGGTAGATGGATAAGAACCACAGCTGACTTCAGCCAAACGTGGCTCATCCCCAGGGGCTGGGGGAAGAGGCCCTCCGTCCTCAGACTTATTGCTGGTCATCCCTGGGAAATCTGGTGCTCTCTTAGCCAGAAAATTGGAATGGCTGTAGAGCAGGCAGCCAGCACCATCTGCTAGAGGAGCCGTAGTGGGACTCAGAGCGGGTCCTGGTCAGGGGTTATTGTCACTAGAACAGAGGCCCACTCATACCAGCTTCGCTGACAGTGATTATATGGGTGAGCTTTACTGACCACATGCTGTGTTGCAGGCACCAGCCTAAGGCTTTACACATAGGCCCATTTAATCCTCACTTCTCCCCTCTGAGGTAGGTCCTGTGCCATCCCCATGTCCCAGATGAGGACATCAGGGCACAGGGGGTTAAGTGACTTGTCAGATTCACACACAGAGATAAGAACCAGGATTTGAACCATAAGAAGAAGATTCATCGCAAGGATAGGATAGGCGATTTCCTACCCATTCTCGAACAGTCAAGAACGGGATTCAGTGTCACGCTCTCTACCTCTCAAGGGGCTAGACGGTCCCTCCTCCCCGCCTTTGTACGTGCAGAGCTCTCTCTGGACCTTCCGCAGCTCCCGTATGGCCCAGGGCAGCTGCCCCAGCTCCACCTGCTCATGACCTTTCTGCTCAGGTGCACGTTCTCACCTCCTGAGTGTCTGTGCTTCCTGGAGTGAAGTCGTGAGAGAGAGCACACACGTGATGGGTTTCTCGCCAGCCGGTGGTTGGCTCCCTCGGGTCCCTTGTTTCCCTCTAGTCCACTCCCCGTGGCTGGGGTAGGGAACATGTATGACAAAGCTGCCCCTTCCAGAGCTGTGAGTGGGGCAGACTGGGGGAAGGGAGGGCAGCTTGACTCGCATCCTCTTCGGAACTGGGGGAATGCCTGCCTCTGCATTAGGGTACACCTTGGAGGTCATCAGCCCCTCCCCCGACCCCCCAGCTAGAATCTTCCGCATGACATGCCTCCCAACCAGATGGCTTCAGCCTTGTGTTTGAATGTCCCCAGGGAGGGAGAATCCACTCCTCCTGAACGCTATCTCTTTGTATGCTGTCACGTTTGTCCGTTTGTCGAGCCCAGATCGCCCCGCAGCTTTGCCTCGCTGGATCCCAGTCTGTCCTTGGAGTGAGCCAGCATGTGGAGTGCTTCAGAGGGATCCTCTGAGGTTCAGTGTCCTCACTGGTAAAATTAGGGTGACAAGAGTACTGATGTCACAGAGCGATTGTGAGGCCCAAATGAGCTAACACACAAATACACGTTTAGCCCAGTTCCCAGCATGTAGTAAGTGTTCAGTACATGTTAGCTACAGATGATCAGAAAAGCGACTCATATCAGTGGATCCAGGTGTTAGTGAGAGCTTGGGAGTTGAGACAGAGTATAGCCCCGGTGTTCCCCCAAGGGCGTGGAAGGCTGGGAGGGGCATGGAGCCTGTGGACAGGGTTGACCGGGGTGTTCTGGCCAGAGGGTGACAGGCCCTGGCCCATTCCTGCCCTCAGAGGCTTTCCTGATCCCCGCCCCTTACTATGGAGCCATCACACAGCACGTCTATCTCTATGGCAATGTCCGTCTGGTCTGTGTCTATCTGGACAGTGAGGTAAGAGTTCCTGAGACCCCAGGTAGGACCCGGGCCTTCCTATAGGGGAAGACTTTCCTCTCTCTGAATTTGAGGGCAGACATGGGAGGAAGTCCATGCTGGGGTCACAGCTGCAAGGGGAGTAGAGCCTTCTGTTGCCCACGGCTGTCCGTACCTGGGTTCCCCTGGGGCTCCCCAGGTCCCGGCTCTGAGGTCTCTGGGGTCAGTGTAGAAGCCAAGGGCAGCCGCAGGGAGACTACATCAAAATGGTGGGGTGAGGATGGGGCAGAGCAGACCTCAACGTGTAAGTTCTTAGGCCCCAGTCAGAGGATCTCTGGGGCCTCTTCCTGACTAAGAGTGCTGAGGTGTCCCTGATGTGATGGGGTGGGCAGCAAGGAGGGGAGTGCCCCTGCCAGTGTTTTTTCAGCGACTGTTCTAGGTAGGCTAGAGATGACAGGTAGGAGAGGCCCCAGAAGCTCAGGTTTGGGGGATCACTGAATTGGGCTGGTGGCTTTTTTCCATCTTTTTTCAGGTCACTGGGCTGGACACACGCCCCTTCCAGCTCACTGTGGAGAGGCTTGAGATGGCCCTGCAGAGAGCTAATTCTGAGGTCTGGGGGTCAAGTCAAACCCAAGGCTGGGAGGAGTGGGTCTGAGCAGGGCACAGACTTCCTGTGGCTGATCTCATCCTCACCGTGGGGTTGGCGCTCCCTGATGGGGTTGGGGTGTCAGATGGTGACAGGGAACCATTCTGGGGGTCAATCAGGAGCCCGTGGAAGGTCTTCCCACTAGAGAAAGACTCTGAGACCTGTGTACAAAGAGTCAACCAGGGAACTCGATGAACACCCCCCACCCCTGCTGTACCCGAGTTTGATTCAGTGGATCAAGTGTGGAGCTTAGTGGTCTGTCGTTCAGCAGTCTCCCTGGTCATTCGAGGACGTGATTCCCCTGTCACGTCCCCGTTTGAGGACACCTCCTGAAGAAAGGCAGAGACGAGTTCTACTCCCGTGGTTCCCTTCCAGTCTGTCTGTGGCCATTACAGTCATACGTGCCTCCTGTAGGAATTCTAAAAGGGCAACCCCTCGCCCATTATTCCACCAACAGAGGCAGCCTTTACTGGCATTTGGGCCTGTTTGCCTCTGGGCTTTGTTCTCTGCCTCTGGTTTCCTTCCCTGTTGACACGATGCACATATGGATGTCTGCCGCAGATACGTGATTCTCTGCCCTTGTCCGCTTCATGCTGAGTTGTGAATGCGTTCACATCCCATTTCCCCGGGGGCCCACCCAGCCGCCGGCCCCATTCAGTGGGAGCGTGTGGCTCTGGCCTTCAGGAGGAGCTGAGCGTTTCCTGCCCCACTGATGGTTTCAGGGTGTGAAGGTTAAAGGTCTCATCCTCATCAACCCCCACAACCCTCTGGGCGACATCTACTCCCCAGGAGAGCTGCGGAACTACCTGGAATTTGCCAAGAGGTGAGGCACCCCACAGTCACCCCTCAAAACGTCCTGGTGGACCAGGATACCGGTGCAGGTTTTGGTACAGACTCTAATACCCTGTCCACTCCACTGTGGGCTCCCGCCTGCTTTGGCCCCTCCCCAGCAGTGAGGTGGAGGGGCCAGCAGTTTGTGGGGTGCTAGTTCTCTCTCTCTCTTTTTCTTTTTAGGACAACAGCTGTCCTGTATTGTACCACCCCCCCCAGGGGCCGGGTACCCTGCTAAGCTCTTTACATGCCGTATCTCATGCAGTCCTCCCAGTCACCCTATTAGTCATCACGTGGTCATTGTCCCCAGGTTACTGAGCCTTGGAGTGAGCAGTAGGGCCAGACTTGAATCTGGGTCTGTCTGTACATACCTGTTTGGCACTCATTTGGGCCTTTCTTCCATGGAGGTGCCCGAGGCCTCTGCCTCTCCTCCACAGTGCTTCAAAAGCCCCACTGTCATCTGCTTTGTGTGTGCGGCTTCCTGTGTGAAAATTCAGACACGAGAAAAGTGTCTCTGGAAAAAAGTTTGGTAGCCCTGGGCTCGACCCTGGTCCCATTGGGTTTCTGAGTCATTGCTTCCCCACCATGGGGGACCTATTTGGCCTGCAGAGCAAGCCATCTCCTCCCCGGCCCTGTTCCTCCAGGCACGAGCTGCACGTGATGGTGGATGAGGTCTACATGCTGTCCGTGTTTGAGAAGTCGGCAGCCTACTGCAGCGTCCTGAGCCTGGAAGGGTGAGTCTGCCCTGTCACAGCCACCTCTGCCAAGCCCCGGTCCCTGGGCCCCTGTGGCTTAGTCCACAGGGTGTGACCTGTCCCGGGGCAGTTCCTGTTCCATCCAGCTGGTCCCACTGTCCTCAGATCCCCTAAAGAGAAGATGGGAGGGCTGGGCTGCATCAGGGGTTTTCACATTGTTCTGTGGGGTTTCTGAGAGCTCCAAGGAGGGGCTGGGCCGTAGCATTCCTGGGGGTGGGATGGGCTGCGAGGGTGGGAGCTGGCCAGTGCTGTCCCCCTCATCTCCAGAGTAGCTTCAGCTTCATCATCCATCCGTCCACTCACTCACTCACTCACTCACTCATTCAGCAAATCCTTCTGCAGCCCCAGGCATGTGCCAAGCACTTCTAGCTGTTTGGGCTTTTTCATTAGATTTAGTCTGAGCCAAGAATCTGTGGCTGCAACAGCTTTGGAAACTCTTGGACCAGATCACCTGTGAGGTCTGTAAGTGTGACACTGAGAGATTCTAGTAGTTCCTGTTATTTGTTCGGAACTTTGGACCCTGTGAAGTCCTTTCCGTTGGTTCTCTCAGCTGGTCCTTATGAGGCTCTGCCAAGTGGACAGCTGTTACTCCTGTTTGTTTATGGATTAGGAACGTGAGGGGCAGAGAAATAGAGACTGGTCACCTACTCTGTGCCAGACATGCTCGGTGCTGGAATACAACATTGAGCGAGAAAGACATAGACCCCCCTCGGGTGGAACTTTTGTTTCTAGCCAGAAAAAACATTTTAAAGATTTTATTTGAGAGAGAGAGAGTGAGTGAGCAGGAGGGAGAGGGAGAGAGAATCTTAAGCAGACTCCATGCTGAGGGCAGAGCCCCACTCGGGGCTCAGTCCCACAACTGCGACATCATGTCCTAAGCTAAAACCAAGAATTGGATGCTTAACCAGCTGAGTCACTCAGGTGCCCCCAGAAAAAACATTTTAGTGGCTAAATACACAGTTATTTGATTGTGGCTTTGATAAGTGCTAAAAAGGACAAGTCTGGGGAGGCGTGAGGGGATCTGCTTGGTGTCCCCAATGGGCCCGGTCTACTGGGAGGTGCTCAGAGAAGATCTGTTTGAGGAAGTGGAATTTGAGCTAAGCTCTAGATTGGGGTTGGCAAATATTTTTGGATCAGATGGCAAATATTTAGGCTTTGTAGGCCTACAGTCTCTCACTCAGCTCTGCCATATAGCACGAAAGCGGCCATAGACGATATGTACATGAAAAAGCATGGCTGTGTTCCAATAAAGCTTTATTTACAAAAACAGGCTGTGGGCCGGGTTTAGCCTGCAGGCTGTAGTTTGCTGACCCTGGCTCTAAGGATGTGTGGGAATTGGTGATTCAAGAGATGAAACCAGGGCTTCACACAGAACCAGACCCAAATTCAGCCAAAAACGTATGAGCTTTTGTGGATCCGTGTTGCCTCCGTTCCCACACTGTGTTCTTTGCAGGTTGCCTGACCCCCAGAGGACCCATGTGATGTGGGCAACCAGCAAGGTAGGTTCCTGGTTGGCCTCGGGATGTCAGGGGGGTGGGAGGGCAGAGAGGTGGGTGGAACCAGCTTCCTCGGTGGAGGGCTGGCCACTGCTCAGGGTGCCTTTCTCCGTAGGACTTCGGGATGTCTGGGCTCCGCTTCGGCACGCTGTACACAGAAAACCAGGACGTGGCCACTGCGGTGGCCTCCCTCTGCCGCTATCACGGCCTCAGTGGCTTGGTCCAGTACCAGATGGCACAGCTGCTCCGGGACCGTGGTGACTGCCTGGGCCTGGTCATTTGAAAATTGGAGGAGGGGGGAGGTTATAGTCAGTCGGGGGCGGGCCAGGGATTATGGGTGCTTCTCTCATGAGAAGAATTTAGGGTGGTGTTCGAGAACCCAGGGCCATGACTGGGTTCATAGCCGACTCCGTCACTTCCTGGCACATTCCTTCACCTCCCCAAACCTTAGTTCGTGTGATTTGTCAGTTCGAATGATACCTGGCATATAATAGGCACTTAGTCAACATGAACTCATCATTATTAGCTGTGAGTGCCTGAAGAAAGAGAGAGTAGAAGCGACAAAGCGAGAACAGTTATAGTGGAAGTATCTCTGCCTACAAGGATCTCAGATAGTGAGTCTGGATAGCAAAGGTGATCTGTAATTGCCACCTTTTATTGAGCCCTGCTAGATGTTCTCATTGCACCAACTCATTGGTTCCTCCCCAGAATCCTAGGAGGCAGATATTCCTGTACTTTCCCCCGGTATTTTATAGATGTGGAAATGAGGACTGGATACTATACACCTGCTATAACAGCTAAAATTTAGAACAGTAGTGACACCATCATGTGTTGGCGAGGATGCGGAGCAGCTTCAACTCTCACGCTGCTGTGGGAACGGAAGGGGGCGCGGCCCCTTTGGAAAGCAAAGTGGCTTGCAGAGTTAAACACACACTTCCCAAATGGCCCCGCAATCCCACACCTCGCTATTTACCCTTACAGTCACACAAAACCCACCAAGTGAATCTTTTTTTTTTTTTTAAAGATTTATTTATTTGAGAGAGTGAGAATGAGAGAGAGAGTGCACATGAGAGGGGGGAGGGTCAGAGGGAGAAGCAGGCTCCCTGCCGAGCAGGGAGCCCGATGCGGGACTCGATCCCGGGACTCCGGGATCATGACCCGAGCCGAAGGCAGTCGCTTAACCAACTGAGCCACCCAGGCGCCCCCAAGTGAATCTTTATAGCTGCTTTGTTCACGATCACCCCAAATGTCCTTCCAAGGATGAAGGAGGGGACAAGCTGGGGTGCATCCACACAATGGAACATGGCTCTGCAGCAGGATCTAGGGCCACACAGAGTAAGCTCAAAGGCATTGTGCTGAGTGTAAGAGGCCAGTCTCAAAAGGTGACATGACTGTATGATCCCACTTCTATGACATTCTGGAAAAGGCAAAACCAGAGTGACGGAGAACAGACCAGTGGTTGTGGGGCAGCAGGGGAGTGACATGACTATGAACAGCTTGAGGGTGTTCTTTGGGGCGAGGGAACAGTTCGGTGTCCTGCCTGCAGGGGGTGGGTTACACAGATGTGTACATGTGTTAAACCTCATCAAAGGGGGGTGGGGGCGCCTGGGTGGTGCAGTCAGTTAAGCATCCAACTCTTGGTTTCCAGCTCAGGTCATGATCTTAGGGTTGTAAGGTCCAGTCCCGCACTAGGGTTAGAGTTAGATTCTCTCTCTCCCTTCCCTTTGCCCTCTGCCCACTCCCCGTGCTTGCACACTTGTTTGCTCTCTCACTCTCTCTCTCAAAAAAAGAAATGTCAAATCATTTAAAAAAACAATTAAAAAATCCTCATCAAATGGGACACCAAAGAAAGTTAATAGAAAAGCTGAGGACGGGGAGGTGAAGTTGCCCTAGGCCCTGCATCTTGTCAGTGGCCAGGCTGGGATCTGAACAGCAGCGTCTGTGGCTCGGAAGCCTCAGTGTGTGAGTGGGCCATCCTTCGGTTAGGATATGCCCCCTGAGGGACCCTGTGTCCGCAGGACTGGGAGCTGTGAGGCCAGGTATCTGAATTTCCGGTGCTTTCTACCAGACATGGACTATTCCTGCGGCCCCCATCCACCAGCTGGGGAAGGGGTCTTGGCAGCTCGTGGCCTTTCTCTTGTCAGCATTTAGGCTCGTGGGACAGCGTGGAGGATTGGTGAGAGATTTATTTGTTGGCTTCTGTTTTCACCCAAACAGACTGGATCAACCAGGTGTACCTACCGGAGAACCATGCCCGGCTCAAGGCTGCCCACACCTATGTGGCAGGAGAGCTCCAGGCCCTGGGCATCCCCTTCCTGAGCCACGGGGCGGGCTTCTTCATCTGGGTTGACCTGAGGAAGGTAAGGCAGGTGGGGCTGCAGGTCTGGGGGGTCGTTGAAGCCTTTCTCCGGCAGGTGAGGGGCAGGGGTGTCTCGTCTGCAGCCTGAACCCCTGCCACCCTTCCAGTTCCTGCCTGAGGCCACCTTTAAGGAGGAAATGCTGCTTTGGCGCCGCTTTTTGGACAACAAGGTGCTGCTGTCCTGTGGCAAGACCTTCGAGTGTAAAGAGCCCGGCTGGTTCCGCTTGGTCTTCTCGGACAAGGCCCACCGGCTTTGCCTAGGTAAGTGACCTCCCCTCCCCGCCTCACCCTTCATTCTGCGCTCCCCCTTCTCGTCCCACTTGTGGCTCCAGCAGCCTCAGCCTGCCCAGCCTGCCCTCCCAGCCGTCTGTGCTATGGGGCTCTCACTTCCCCTTCCCAGGGATGCGGAGGGTCCGACAGGTGCTTGGGGGCAAATCCCAGGTGGCCGAAGAGCCCCATTCCTGTCAGACCCAGGAGCCAAGGAGCCAGCGCAGGTGAGCTGGTCGTCGCTGGGGGACGGCAGGGCCTGGCAGCCACTGCCAACCCGAGCCATTTGGGGCTGTGAAGACCGACGGCAGATGGGCCATTTGTCAGGCGGGTACCCGATGTGACCTCACCCCCGAAGAAGCACCATTCCTGGCCCCTCTCAGGGGCAGCGAGAGACTCCTTTGGCTGTGCTCTGCTTCGGCCCCTCCCCCTCTAGTAAACAAAACTGGGAGAAACTAGAAGCCTCTGTAGTGAGTAATGTACAGAATGGAGGAGTCGTGACTGCTCCTAAGCACAACCCTTCACCCCCCTGCGATCACGAAAAGAAAACAACGTGTACCTTCTTTTGACGGCACCGTCCTTCCTCCTTTGTTGCCGGGGAAACAAGTCAGAGGAACAACACATAGAAGAGAGAACATGCCCAAGAAATAAACAAGGGTGATAATTCCCAAACCCCAGGAGGAAGGAGTTAATTCTGTGTGTTCCTATTGTTCTCCCCCCGTGAGGGGGTGTGGGCCCACAGGACACCTGGGACCTGGGACAGGCCTCTGCTTGGGCCGCGGTGGACAAGACCCCATGGGGGCAGTCAGGAAGAGCTGCTCTGCCTCGGGGATGCTCTTCCTCCTCCTTCCCGGCAAGGAGCTGCCTTCCGACATCTCAAACCCGAGGGATCTAGCCGCGACTACTGGGGGGAAGATAAGGGCTGGACTTTGAACAACCAGGCTGGCCTTTCCACCCTAAGCAGGCAAAGGGCCACTCAGGCCATCCTCAGGGCTGTTTGAGTTTAGAGCCCAAGTGGGCTTTCTGAACTGACCTTAAAGCTGTGTGCAGCAGACCCTTCTCTGGGGTCTCCACTCCGGTGTAGAAAAGCGGTCTCTTTCCTTGCTTCTGTTTTAAGATAATGTGGGTATTTTCTGCAAATCATAGTATTTGCAGAAATACAGTGTGTATTTTCTGCAAATCATAGTATTTGATACAGGATTTGCTTTCCTCTACCTTTCTGCCTTTCATCCATTCATTCCTTCTCCCTGTCTTTTCTTGAATACCTTCTATGTGCCAGGCACTGGGCTGATAATTTCTGTGCATTATTTCTAGCTTCGACAATCCTGGGAAGCTGACATTATCATCCACCACTTGAGAGACGAGGCCATGGAGTCTCAGAGAGCTGGAATGCTATTCTCAAAGTCACGTAGCTAGAAAGTATCAGAGCCGGGATTCAGAGTCAGGTCGCTTTGGTTGCGAATCCTGTGCTGTTTGTACCCTGCCCAAACGGGCACCAGCAGGATGCTTTGACTCTTTCCAGTCCTGAGAACCAGGCTTTGTGTTGTCATCGTCAGCACCTTTAATTGTTGTTCAGTGCCTTTGGCCAAGTATCACTCCTTTCTATTCCCACTTCCAGGAAACACTGGTACTAGGATTTGTTGGTTCTGGAAAGCCTTCAGGTTTTATGGGTCAGACTAAGAATGGCCACATCGAGAGCCCTTTGCATCCCCTTTAAAAACCTCTGTTGTGACGCTGCCGTTGTGGTTCAGAGTCCCCCAAGGAAGGACCCCTGTGATACATTCCGTTTAGAATTCTCAGAAGAAGGACTCCTAGTTCTTTAGAGGGAATCCAAGCTGGCTTCCTGGCAGAGGCAGACCGAACCTGGGATCTGAGCCTGAACGGAGTCCGTACGAGCCCAGCTGTCTGTGCTGCGTGAAGGGATGTGCTCCATATATCTCTCTCTGTGGAGTCTGGGTCTGGCATATTCTATACCCATCTCAGTGCTCACCTTTGTGCTCACCTTTCTGCTTTTGCTCCTTACAACAACCAGCCGTGTGTGAGCATCACCCCGGGGGTCCCTCGGCTGCTCCAAATGTCACTTTCTGTCCCAGGCTTCTCTGACAGCCTCATGGGGCACGTGCAAACTGGGAACGCTGAAGGAGTTAACACTCCTGGGGCTATCCTTGAACAACAGGGGACAGGAACCAGGATGCATACCCCTGCGTGCAGGTGGACCGCTGTGCAGTAGACAATTCTGACCTTCTGCATGGCTCCTCAAAGAGTCCTGCTGGGATTGGGCCCCGGGTGCCCAGGGCAGTAGCCTGCTCTGTAGCATACCGCTGGCCAGGCTTTGTTCTCTTAGACTTATACCGATCTCTCCATTCCCTAGGATTGCTTCCCAGAATGGCTACCTGCATCAAGACTCAGTCTCTCAGGGAACCATGCAAAGCAGAGTGTACATGATAGGTCAACAGCATCCACCGTGTGTCTCCTGAGTTCAAGCTCCCTTCCCCAAAAACTCTGAGATGCAGGTCCTGGTTTGGGCACCAGAGTGATCAAATGCTTACCTAGTGATTTCTGTGAGTCTTTTCAAGAACGGTCTATTGTTGGCAATTACAAGGGGAAATGTTTTTCATAGGGAAATAATATGTTTCCCTTTCCGATCAGTGAAAATTCCTAAGCTATTCTATTCCTGAAGACTCTCATTTACAAATGACTAAAAATGGTAAACATAGCTCACCGGTTAAACAAAAGGGGGGTGGGTTTATTGAATTAAGGAGGAAGGGGAAGGGCAGATGTTTCAGGCAGGGCTCTAGCCAGGAGTTCAGATGATGCCATCGGAGTTCGTGCTCCCTCTGCCTTCCTCTCTTCATTCTCAAACATGCTCCGTTCAGGGGGTGGCAAGATGGCTTCCAGACCGCTCTGAGCTCCAGAGTCCTTGTAGCAGACACCTACAGTGTAGGGGAAGGATAGAGAGACACCCTTTCTTCCTCAGCATTCATGTCTCTCCTGTTCCAGGAGGCCAACTGGCTTTACCTCAGCCATCCGCCCACTCAGGAGAATGTGGTGCTTGGAACCGGTGTTTTCTTCATCTGTCCACTCTGCTGTCCTAGTGTGTTGGACTTTTCCCCTTCGAGCTTCCTTCCTCATGGTCTCAGTACAGCTCCAGAAGCTCCACACATCACCTCCTCACCAAACACTTCCAGAGACAGGAAAGAGAATATGGTTTCCTGGGCCTGCTTTTTAATTTATTTCAGTCATTTATTCCCTCATTTATTAAAAAAAAATATTTGTTGGGCCTCACATTTCTAGGGGTTCTTTATGTATTCTCCAAGTGAGCACTTTGCCAGATACTCTGATATTATTCACATTCATACTTGGAGCATTTTCTTTATCCTCCTGAACGTGGAAATGACCTGAGAGCATTTAGCTCGTACTCCTTTATATTCATCTCCTGTGACATTGTCAACGAGTATTTTAGTTCATGCCTAGGCTGTTTGTCAGTTTGTTTGTTCCCTCTTCCTCCAGGAACTGCTTTGAAGAGTCATGACAACCCGAGTTTGGGTGAAGACTGGGCAAAATAGAACCTGCACTTTTCACGCTAACATTTTTCATAACAGTGCTAATGCTACACAACTATCAACAGGATGTTTCATGTTTAACACCATGTTTCCTTGGACTCCATCACCCTAGTGACAAGAGCTAGGCCGTCCTTCAGAATGCTGGGGAGGTAATGGTAGTCCCTCCAGCCATGGACCAGTTCAGCAAGTACGTGTGTGAGCAGCTCCCAGCCCCTCCAAAGCTTAACTTTCACATCCGGGAGTCCTGGGATTCAGGCATCATGATGGTGAGGTTAGCTCTGTTGTTGCCTCCCTCCAAGGCCCACGAGTACTCCAGAGAGGGCTGGGAATTCCAGAAGGAGCCAACCAAGTAGGCTCTCAGAGGAAGCCACCGGCCCCAGTCAGGAACAGGGGCAGGGACACCATAGCCTGGGACCCCATTCCAAGGGCAGCTCCCGGCCTTGCCGGCTCAATAAAGGACTTTGGAAGTGTTAAAACAAAAAATCTATGTAGGCTACATCCCGAGGAGAGTTACAGACACCATTTGGTCTAGTACTGGTCTCAGACATCTCTTGAACTTCTGCTGAAACACTGCTTTCTATTAATTTTTTAAAATGGAGATAAAGTTTACAGACAGCGAACTGCACGGGTCTTCATTTTAAGAGTCAATGACTTTGACCAATGTCTCCATCTGTGTAACCCATGTCCCCATCAAGGTGTACAACAATTCCATGGTTCTGAGTCTGCCTGTGGGTAACTGCTATTCTGGTTTCTCTCTCCATGAAGCAATTTCTCAATCAAAGGAACCACGTAGTTGTTCCCTTTTGTGTCTGGGCTATTTTGTTCAACTTAATGTTTGGAGATTCATTGACATTGTTGCATGTATCAGTAGTACATTCTTCCTCTCTTTTTGCCCTCTCATAGTAATATCCCCTTTTTCATTCTTGGTATTGGTAGCTTTTGCTCTGTCTGCTTTTATTTTTATCATGAATAGTCAGCTTTATGATGATTTTATTGATTTTGCTGGTTTTACTGGTTTTTTACAATGAACTCTTTTATTAATGCTTTCTATTGTATATTTGCTTTCTAATTTAATGTTTTGTGGGTTTTTTTTTTGCTTACATGTGAACTATGATTTGAAAATGATTATTTTTTGCTCCTTTCTTCTGCCTTTATGTTTTCCTCACTACCGGCCATAGTCATTGTTATTCCCTGATATAAAGAAAAAATGCAAAATGTGTGCACCTTATTGCGCATAAATTTTACCTCATTAGAAAAAAGGAACTGCAAAATATTGATCTGTAGTTAATGACATGTCTTCGATAAAATATTCAGATGTTAACTACTTGATAGCTGCAATTTATTCTGCAATGCAGCAAAAAATGAGGGGTCAACAATGGGTGGCTCAATATGTGATAAGTACCGTAAAATATTAATTACAGGGCGCCTGGGTGGCTCAGTTGGTTAGGCGACTGCCTTCGGCTCAGGTCATGATCCTGGAGTCCCGGGATCGAGTCCCGCATCGGGCTCCCTGCTCAGCTGGGGGTCTGCTTCTCCCTCTGACCCTCTTCCCTCTCGTGCTCTCTGTCTCTCATTCTCTCTCTCTCAAATAAATAAATCTTTAAAAAAAATATTAATTACATAGTAGAGATGGTAGATACGTGGGTATTCACCGCAAACTTCTTTCAACTTATTTCTTTTTTTTACCTTTCACCCCCTTCACCCATTTCTCTCACCTCCCATCCCCACCTCCAGCAACCACCAATCTCTCCTCTGTATCTATACGCTTATTTTTCTAAAAATAGGAACATTTGTTTTTGTTTTTAGATTCCAGTATAAGAGAGATCACCCAGTATTTGTCTTTCTCTGTGTGACTTATTTAGCATGATGTCCTTGAGGTCCATCAATGTTGTCCCAAGTGGCAAGATTTCATTCCTTGTTATGGCTGAATAATATTCCATTGTCTGGGGGCACCTGGATGGTGCAGTTGGTTAAGTATCTGACTCTTGGTTTGGTCTCAGGTCGTGATCTCAGGGTCATGAGATCGAGCCCCCGCATAGGGCTCTGTGCTGGGTGTGGAACCTGCTTAAGATTCCTGCCCCTCCACCCTGCTCTCTCTTTCTAAAATAAATAAATAAATAAATAAATAAATAAATAAATAAATATTTTGTTTTAAGATTCTTTGTATTTAAGATTTTATTTATTTGACAGAGAGAGAGAGAGAGAGAGTGCACAAGCAGGGGGAGTGGGAGAGGGCGAAGCAGGTACCCTGATGCAGGCTTGATCCCAGGACCCTGGAATCATGACCTGAGCTGAAGGCAGATGCTTAACCGACTGAGCCACGCAGGCACTGCAAATAAATACATCAATCTTAAGAAAACTTGTTATAAAAAATATTCCATTGTATGTATACGTATCCCCTTTTCTTTATCCACTCACCTGTTGATGGATTATTTCCATATCTTGGCTATTGTAAATAATGCTGCAGTGAACATGGGGATAAACATCTAGTTTTAAATCTCCAAATTTGTCATTTTTATTTTTCTAGTTTTATACAGTCAGTATTTATAGTTGTTGTTGTTTTAGTTGGTGTTTATTTTGATTTACCCATGAGTTTATCAGTTTCATTGTTTGCCATCCACACCTCATCTCAGTACTTTCTTCTGGTTCTAACATTCTTTTTCCTGAAATACATCTTTCAGAAATTCTGTTAGGAAGGGTTTATTGATAGTAAATTCTTTCTCTTTGTGTTTGTCTGGAAAATGTCTTTATTTCTTATTCTTGAAAGATGGCTTCACTGAGTCTACAACTGCACATGGACTACTAGCTTCTCTTGCCCTTCTTATCTTAATGCCTTCCATGTTTTGTTCTTGTTCTTGTTGAGAAGTCTGCTGTTAGTCTTCTTCTCCACCTGTTACAGATGGTCATCTCTGCCCGGTGATGGAAAATTCTCAGCTACTGTCTCCCTGGATACTGCTTCTTCATTCTCTCTATTCCCTCCTTCGTGATATATGCTGGTCTTCCCACCTCTGTCCTTCCTCTCTTTCAACATCTTCATCCATCTCTGTTTTCTCCTCGATCTGCATTCTGGGTAGTCTATTCAGATCTATATCCCCATTTACTAATTGTGTCTCATCTACTGCTTAACTTAGGCATTGAGTTCCTGATTTTTATGTTTACTGCTTTTTCAAATTTCCTCGGTCTTTTCAGAATATATCATCTTGTTTCTTTCTAATGTTGACATTCCATCTTTCAAGTCTTTGAGCACCATAAACTTACTTATTTTGTATTTATTTCTCATAATCCAATTATCTGTGGTTCTTGGGGGTAGAATTTGTGCTGTTTGTAGTTTCTTCTGACTGGCTTATTTATCATGTGCTCATCACGGATTGTGTGCTTACATTTGTTGGGGTTTTATCTGTTGGGATCCTGAGCAGGCTGCATGTGAAGGCATGACCGTCCGGCTGGGGGGGTTCGTGTGTCCTTCTTTAGATGTGACGGACCTGCGTTGGTAACACTTTGTGTTATTCTCTGGGCTTGGAGCTTTCTGGACCATGCTGGTAGGTATAAATTCAAATCCCACATGGTTGGGAAGCCTGATGTTAAAGATTCTCAGCAGAGACTCTTCTGTTCTCCATTCTCTGGACAAGACAGACAGTTTTTTGGTTTGTTGTTACTGATGTCGATTCGGTTCCCCAGCCTTCCACCTTAGTATCCTGGCTTTCTGTGAGCCTCTTGGGATCCACTCCCCCACCTCGCGCACCCTGTTGTCTCTTCAACACTCAGTTTTCTCCCTGTAGCTTCATTTCTGGTCCCTGTATTTTTTCTTTACTATTTTTGTGAGCTCAGCTACCCATCAGACAGAGTGTTCATTATATTTGATCTAGGCTTGATAGGTGTTTTCTAGTTCTCCAGGCTGCCCACCAGTGTCGTTTAAGCTGAGCCAGCATAAAATACCATACAACGATTCTTTCACAGAGTCTTTTTCCTTGGAGATTATACCTTTCTCCATTCTTGCAAACCACCATCATTTAAAGGAAGTAGTAAATCTGGGATGCCACTGCACGCTAGCAATTCCTCCTGCCGGTAACCTCGCTTTCCCTTGATGATGCCACTTTCCTGGAAAGCCAGGCCTTGTCTAAATTCTACTTTTGCTTTTCCTGACCTCCTGGGTAGGCAGGAATCTGCGCGGTCTCTGGTTTTTTCTGTACCTTCAACGTGAGTAATGAAACATCTTTCTACAGCTTCACCTCTTTTAACCACTGACCACTGAACTTTTCTACCTTCTCAGGGACTGTGGGTCCTGGCTTCTAGTTTTCTATCCCAGTCTGCTCCACAGTCATCCTCAGCTGCTTTAGCATCTCTACAGCCTCTACAATCTTGGCTCTGTGCTTACTTACCTCCAATCACTTGCATGGTTTCTACCCCTGGAAATGTAGCCACATCGTTCTAGTTAGACTGGATGAAAGAAAAAAAAAAACATTTGGTCTTTCTGATGGCTTCTGCTTCTTTACATCCCCTGCTTCTCATCTGGGCCTTTGCTCATGACTTTTTCTCTGCCTGGAATGCCCTATTCACTTCTCTACCTGCCAAAATCCTAACTATCCTCCAGGACCAGCAAAGATATTAACTATTGTGTGAAGTCTTCACACATCTTTGCAACTGGATGTGATTGCTTTCTCTTTTGAACCCCGTGGCACTTTGTTTATATTCTCCCAGGCTACTTTTCACCCTCTGCTTTGCCTAATCTTACTCGTGCTTTTGTCTTCTTTCTAGGGAGCTCCTCCCAGTGTCTGGGCACCCTTTATTTATATTCATAGAGCACTTAACTGTGTGCCAGGCACTATACATGTCTAGGGTTATAAAAAGTAAATAAATAGGTTCCTCCGAGGCGGTGCCTAACACAGGTCTTTAACAGAGAAAGTCCTCATTTAATGAACAAATGAATGATTAATGAAAAGACATATAATTTATATATACACACAACATATATTTAATTCAGAGAAAGACAAGAAAACAAAATACTTTCCATCTATCCTGTTATCAAATGGGGTGAATGTATGGTAAATTTCCTGTCGTCTTGGGGGCATGTGGATTTGCAGGGCAGGTTAATGCTCTCTTGGATGTGGAGAAGCAAAATGTAGGTTTCCCATCTCCAGAATACTCTCATTCCAGTATCTCTGGATCAGTAGCAAGCAGGCATTAACCCACAAGAATATTCCTGGAATCACTTGCTGCTGGAAGCCCCAGTCTCCAGACTCAGAATCTACTCCCTGATTATTTAAGCTGTAAGTAACAACTTCCACTAGATGGCGCTATGGGATAGCTGGGCCCAGAACGGATTTGAGTTACCTGCAAACTGCACAGGCTCTGTGGGGTCATCTCATTAACCTCCCAATTACAGCACTCTGCATTTTGATAGATTTTTTTAGGCTCCATTCATGCCTTATGACAGGGGTTTTGCTGTGCATATGTAAGGCTAGATCATGTAAATAATACGGAAAGGAACGAAACAAAATCTCTTTCCCCCATTTCTATCTCCACCATTATTCCTCCAAAACTGTTCATTGCTTCTTGGATTCCCTCCAGAAAAAAATATTATACATACGCTTGAAATATAAACATCTGTATGTATATTTTCTCTCTCCTAATTTTGCATATACATAATTTTATGGAAAAGGGACCATATTTACTCAGTTTTAGAGCATGCTTCCATATTAACATACCTTCGAGGTATTTCTGTACCGACATATATATGCATTCTCACATGATTCCATTTTAGTCATAATTTATTTTGATTACTATAAATTTTCCCATAGTTCATTTTGCTTGTTTCCATTTTTTAGCTATTATTTGGAAAAACGCTGTAATGAGAATTTTTGGTAAACGCTGTTGAGAATATCCGTAGGGTAAACTCCATACAGAGGGATTGGTGGAAAGGTTGCGGGCATTTTACATTTGATGGATATAGCCCAATTGCCCTCCGGAATGCTGCATGCTCACCACTACTCATTGTAATAAGACGTTTATATTTGTGTCAGTTTTATAAGTGAAGCATGGTGCCTCGCTGCCTGGGCCTGGAGTTTCTTTAATTATGAACGAGGCTGCAGGTCTCTGCGGGACAAAGTTTTAGGGTGGAGCCTGAGCTTCGCGCTCCTGCCTGGGAGAAACCCTACGCGGTGCCCTGGCTCCTCCTGTCCAGCAGGGGGCGGGGGCCCGGCCGCTCCCGCATGCGCAGTGCGCTCGGTGTCAGACGACGCCAACCCCGTCGCTGGCGCCGCTCTCCCTGCTCGCTCGCGCAGACCCGGCGCTGGCGGCCGGCGACTCGGCGCGATTCCTCCCGGGCGGCCGTGGCCCGCGCCCTGCGGCATGCCCCGGTGACCAAGCGCGGGGCCGAGCGGGAGGCAACCGTGGCCGAGGTAAGCGCGGCGCGGAAGGGCCTCCGGGGCCGCGGCGGGGTCGGGCCCGGCCGCCGGGAAGAGCGGGCCGCGCGGAGGCCTGAGGGCGGCGAGGGGCGACCCCACCCCCGCCGGGGCCGCTCGCGGCGTTTCGCGCTGTGGGAGCGCTTGGATCTCCGCACCGCCTGGTCCCTGGTCCCCTGGCCCGCCCCGCGCTTTGCTGCCCACTTGTCTCCCTTGCCCACGCCCACCCCCGCCCGCCCCTTTCCTCTCTCCCGGGACCCCGCAGCTGCCTTTTCCGCAGGGCCCACCCCGCGCCGGGACCTCTGCCTTCCCGCTGCCACCTCCTTCCCGCGAGCTTTGGGGATCGGGTTCTCCCCACGGCGATTTCTGGCGCGCTGGGCTCTCCCGTGGCCTTTGGTAGCCCGTGCAGCGCAGGATGCCAGGGCAGGGCTTGGGGCACTGTGCCCCCAGCGCGGAGAAAAGACTGGGTGGGGAAGGTGGTCCGGGGTGTCCAGGCTCCGGGCATCAAAACTCAGAGGCATTTAGAGGTTTACTGCTGGCGGTGGGAACCAGGTCAGTTTTGAGACTGAAATGATTGCTTGGTGTAACTTATTGGGAACTGCTAAGCTGGAAGGGTCCTTGACTTCCTGGTCTGAAGATGCCTTTAAATAGAAATAAGTCAATTTTAATTCTTCGAAGTAAGCTGAGTGCTCTAAGGATTTGCACTGGACTTGGGTTTGTAAATTTCAGGGCTCAAAGGCTATTCGTGGTAATATATGACTCAGTTTCCAGCATTTCTCACTTCCGCTAACTTAAGCCTCTTGGTTACATGTGCTGGTATGAATAGATAAATTTGGATCTGTCAAGTTATGCTGCCTTTGCTAGTTGAGGAGTGAAAAAGGTAGATCTACTCTAGGCTTTCACAGGTAATTAGGGGAGGCATGGAGGTTAGTAGCTGGGGCTCCAGAGTCAGACTGTCATCCTCCAAATCCTAGCCTTGGCATTTTCTAGTTTTGTGACATTGTGTAAGTTACTTAGCCTTCCCCTTGCACTTTCCCTGTCTGTAAAATGAGGATAATAATAGCTTGTCACATGGCACTGTTAGAAAGATTAAATAAGTTAACACAAAGTGCTTAAAACAGGTGCATGTAGTGAGTGAATCCTCAGTATAGTTATTAGTTATATACATTATATTAATTATAGTATAATTCCCACAATCAAGGAAACACTTTTTTTTCCCCCATTGGAAACCATTTTTAGGGATGGTTAGTTGTCATATAACTTTAATTATAAAGAACCCTGTCTGGGAAGGCAATGAATCACAGATCTTCCTTCTTTTGCTAATATTTGGTTCCTTGTTTTCAGGGCACAGTGGTGGTAAGTTCCAGTATTGCAGTGGCCCTGGGAGTTCAGCTGTGAGGGCTTTTCTAAAAAGGTTAAGACAAGAGATTGTGACTCAGAGCATCAGACTAAATGGATTGGATATAGCCTGAAGCACCAAGGATAGATTTTGCAGGCACATTTTCAGGATAAATAATTCCAGGAACAGAAAATGCATCTCATCCTGACAGTAGAGAGGAGTTAAAAGATTTTTCCAGTGACTCACTGCTTGACAGTTAGCCAGATGATTCCAGTGTTTTGCAGGGACAGGTTTGATGTCTTTGAGGGAGGTTAAGTTTGTAGGGCTTTGCTGTGAAATTCTTGTTTCATATGGGTTATGGTATCATGTGGAACATTAATTAGTAGAAGACTCCTTTTAGTTCTCTTCCGAGAGGCTCAGTGTCAGGGGCATTGAACATGGTGGTGGTAGCAAGTGTCTTCTTAGGATGGGAAGATTATGACTTGTTTTCTTGGATGATGGTTTTGGGGACAAAGATCTTTCTGTGCTTCAGTGTGTGGAAATTGACTACAAGAAAACGACAACCAGTAGAAGAGACAGACTTGTAAATACTTAATATAATGTGGCAAATGTTGGGATGAGGTAGTGAAAGGTACATGGATGCTCACCAAGAAGGTTCTCTATCTCTAAAGCACCATTTAGTAAGGGACTTTTTTCCTCTCATCTCTCATCCTTTGCTTTCCTTTTACATTTAAGGCTTTTCCCCTCCTTTTCTTTTTGTTTAAAGATTTACTTATTTGAGAGAGAGAGGGAGAGAGAGTGTGAGCACGCAAGCAGTGGGGAGGGGCAGAGGGAGAGGGAGAGAGAATCCCAAGCAGACTCCTTGTTGAGTGCAGAACCCTATAACCCTGGGATCATGACCTGAGCTGAAACCAAGAGTTGGATGTTCAACCAGCTGAGCCACTGAGGTGTCTCTCCCCTCATTTTTAGTTTTACTTCACCTCAAATACTCACCATATCTCTTAGCTGTTTGGCAAAGGCTTGTGGGAGCTTGCTTCGGCTGTGTAGGCGTATCTCAAAAATGTGAGTTTACAGGGGGGATGGGCTGCAGTGGATGAATGCCATCATTTCCTCTCCTTCAAAGGGACAGTTCTGAGGTGTGTTCTACATAGTTCTGCAGAGGACTGAGCCCCATTCCTCAGCTCAGTATGGTAATCCTCATGGTTTTCCATTCTTCCCTGACTCCTCTCCTTCGTCCCTCACTCTGGCTCTCTGGACTCATCTGCAAGCTTCCTGCTTTCCAGGTTTTTTTCTTAGTTTGGTAGAACATAAGCTAAGACAGCTGGTACTAGAAGCGGCTCTAGAAAGCCGACCCTGAGAATCGTATTGTAAAACTGGACTCCCTCACCCTCAGATGGCAACAAGGACCCCTCTGTAGCTGTTGATAACCCCTGGTACTCTAGCAGCACAGTTGTACGACTCTCACCAACGGTGGGCGGGATGTGACTCAGGTAGAAGGGAAAGCATTGGCTAGTACAGTAGCTCTAGCACGTTGGCAGGATATGGACAATGGGAATGATAAGGCTAATGGAGCTGGCTGTCTCTTGTCATCTTTCTTCGAGCCTTGAGGTAAGGTCAGGCTCAGATCAGCCAGGTATCAACCCCAGGATACACTGTGAGCGACGGAAGGCTCTGTGGCAGCATCTCCTGCAGTCAGAAGCCAGACTGTTGAAAATCAGGCCCAGAATTTAATCATAATTATGGCAGAACTGCAGAGGAGGCTGAAGGCGCAGCCTTGGCAGGTGGCCTCTGCTAAAGTCATGGGTGAGGCCTGAGATGCAGCTATTTGGTGGAAGCATGGAGAACTCTGAACTCCCAGAGTTCCTTAGATCCTTGGGGCTAGTGGAAGTATCCACCGCTCCTTGTCTGGACACTCTGCAAAGACCTTGCTGAAGGCTCTTGCCTTGCAGGATGGTACTTATCCTCTCAAAATCTGTCTCCTCTTCCCCCTCGGATCTCAGCATTGCCTAAGTGGGGAAGTACAGTCCCTGCTACTGGACAAATAGCTTTTGTATTGGAGTTGTAGGACCTGGCTCCTGGGAACCAACAGGAGCTGAGGGCACACGTGTGCGAGTGAATCTTGGAGGTGTCAGCTGAAGAGTGGGGTAGCGGTGGACCATAAAGCTGCTTGGGAAAGGCTGTGTCTCTTTAGGAGCATTCTCTCAGGATTAGGGGTTTAATGATCTTGCAAGAACAACTGGAGCGACTGGGCAGATTCCTTGAAACTTGGACATGACCATGATCTGCACCGCTGGTTCTCAGGTAGGGGCCCCTGGGGGTATTTGGCAATGTCTGGATATATTTTTGGTTCTCAAAACTGGGGGTTGTTTCTGGCTCCCCACAGAAAAGGATGATCTGGCCTGAGATATCAGTAGGGCCAGCAGTTTCTGGCCTGTAGGAAATGAGGTGGAGATGCCAGAGCTGTCTGGGGATAGTGTTGAGGAAGGGATCCAGAGGTATTGGGAGGTGGAGATTTGAAATAGATTTATTATTTGAGGCCAGAGATGTACACCTGCCCATGTTCCCGGGAGGGCTCACTCCTGTAATTCTGGCAACATGGAGTGCCCACTGGAGGCCAGCATCTTTGAGAAGCTCAGTGTGGACTGTCTCCTGTAGGCCAGAATTAGCTTTAGATGTGATCGTGGAACTGGGTTCCCAAGTATGTGAGGGTGATAGGATTCTGAAATAGCGGAGGCTGGGTGGCATTGACCTTCAGTGGCATGGTAGACACAATTCCCACAATGGCCAATAAAGCCCAACCTGCTGCTGATGTGTCTTGATCCACGGTGATGCTAATAGAGTATAGTATCCTAAGGACAGTATAGATGGGCATCTAACTAAGGTATTGCTTGACTTGTATAACCAGAAAAAAAAAACCAAGAGCGGGCAAGTAGAAGGCTGATGTCAGCTGTTGCAGTGGAAAAATCACTGTTCAACCCCAGTTTTCAGACAGGAGCTCAGACCCATATCCCATGGATTGAGAGGGAGGCTGGGTCTCTGTAAAGAGGGCTCTGAAACGTCCCTGCAAGTATAGACAGACGTTCACCCAGTCCTTCCTCAAGGAAGTGCAGCTCTTTATCAGACTAACGGTACACTGAGGAAAGGATAAGATCCAGACCTTTTGAGGGTTGTTGAGTACAGAGTATGAGCTGATAATAGTACCAGACAATCTTAAGCAATAGTGGGTGGGAGTTGGGAGATCCATGCCTTGGCTTCCTATCCTTCTGAGGGACAAGTATAGTTTTTGTGGTTTTTCAAGAGTTCTAGCACTCCCAAGAGCCCCTGTTGCCCACCTTACTGGCTGTCCCTGGTTCCGTCTCTCTCTCTCCTTGCTGTTTACTCTGGCCTTCTGAGATCACCTCCCAAGTAAGGAAACTCCCTGTACCTCCATCCTTGTCTCTGGTTCTTTTTGCAGGGGCCAGGGGGACCAAACTATGACAAGTAGGAAGCGCAATGTGATGCTTAGGACTCTAACATAGGGGCATTAGCCCCTCTTCTTTCCAGCCCTCCTGCTGACCACTTGGGACTCAAGCCTGTTCATGTACTCCTACCAGCGGAGTTCAGTGGCTCCAGGCCCTGCCCACACCGCCTGGTGTTTGACTCTTCCGTTTTCTTGTGT